TTTGCAAAAAAACAGTAGCATAAAAATTGCCTAGGTGCTCTGCTGCCTTCTTTCACATTATAAATTAGCAATAAATATCCAACATAAAGAAATCCTAAAATATAACACTTGCCTGCCTTCGTCTGGTGCAGTCTAACGATTATTTTTGTTTGCAGGAATCGACGCACCTCGAAGGATTTTGAAATTTTGGTACTATGTAAGGTCAACCTAGAGACATTTTTGTTTCATTGTTTGTTTATTATTTTGTTTTTTGTATTAAAATAAAATATATTTTTTGTAGATTCTAATATTTTTAAGGTTCATATTTATTGAAAAAGAAATAAGTTTATTATTTTCAACATCTTCTTGTATCAACCATTTGTATGCAAGTCATAGTCCGTAATAGACACATAGTTGATATTGATATTAGATTCGAAAGCATACATAATACCATGATATGACACTGACAATGATTCGTATTCGTGATCCGAAAAAATGAATTCGAATCACTCGATTCGAATCCTTTTTTATTGCAAAAAGGATTCGGACATAGGATCCGTGATTTGAATCACATCTCGTGATTCGGATTCGTGATTCGAATCAATTTTTTAAGGATTCGTCCCAGCTCTTTTATACGGTTACCAAAAATGTGAGCCCAAGCATTCATTTTTTGCTGATGTTGCTTATGCACTTCATGAAATATTCTGGGATTTGAATCGGACCACAGTTATGACGATTTAGCGTACCATTTAGGAAAAAAGTGCAGTCGTTAGAAAACACACGTTGAAAAAAAAGTGCTGATAATTTATTGCCCGTTCAGTCATAATTTCACAAATTGTAATCGCCTAACAAAATCGTATTCGCTAAGTTCTTGTATCTAATGTATTTTGTAGGACTGAAACTTGTGTTTTTTCAATATCTTCTGAATGCTACTTCTCTTAAAACCAGATGTTATCGCCAACTGTCTTGTATTCCATTTCGTTTTCAAATGGCCACTCTGTATAACACATGACATAAGTTTAATGAAAAAAAAAAAAAAATTAATACTAGTAGAGATAAATATGAAAATATGAATTCTTCATTTCCTTTCTTTTGACTCATTCTAACAGAATTTATAAGAAAGTTGCCCTTAATGACCATAATATACCTGAATACGCAAAATTGATGGGTCTCGCCAGGGGCTGGTAACTCAAATGGAAAAACATGAGGACGGTAATTTAGTACCACTCCAATTAACGGGATGGCGCTCGTATCGAAATGTCATGTTAGTTGTCAGCTTGTCAACAAAACTTCAATTACTTCAAACTTGGAAAAATTAAAATGGCTGTTGCATTATTTGAAGGTGAAGGTGTATTGGATTTTGATTCATCTAGATTTAGTTTTCAACACCTTCCAATTTTAAGCATGTTTTCAAGAGATAGGAACATGGATTTCAGCAACGAACAATAAAGCACTCCAAGATATTGGTAGTGATGCAATTTATACCACGTATTAAATATGCGGATAACCAAACAATTTGTAATAAGTGTCTTAAGAAATATGCATCTTGTACTAGCATCAATGGTACGTAATATTTACAAACTTGTTTTTGATTCAGTGTTAAAATAATTGGTTTGTTATTTAAATTTCTTTTTGCTTTTAGTTTTTAAATGAACATTGTTGTAAAGAAAATGTTGGCCCTTCAAAATACCCTGTCGATCGATGAAATATTTGAGCCTCAGTCATCAATATCAAAAATTGATTCAATGTAATTGACATCAAACAAGAAAACACCCTAAAATCTTCAAGGTTTCAAACGTGTGTAAGTTTAATTAATGCTCAAAAGATAAATTCATTTATCACAGTGTCCACATGATGAATAAAAATTTTATAACTACAAGTGCTGCATAAATGAATCAAGAAAACAATTATTGGATGAAGAAATGCTCCTCAACCTAACTAGTCGACTCAATAACCATATGGCAAATTTTATCCACACTCAAATTTGCCTCGATAGTAAAAAAGGATTATGCTTCAACTTCAAACTTATTTGCCACTCCAAGTCGCAAAACTTTTATAAAGGCACTTATATAAATATGCTGATTTTGTTACAGAAAACATTTTTGATAGGTTTCTTTTATAAATATTTAATTATTTAAACGGTGTAAATGCATATTTGTTTGAGTATTTCCATGTTTAAATAGACAAATTATATGATGTGGCGTTAATTTACTGTAATAAAAAAATAAAATAAATTGCATTTTATTTCAAGTTTGAAATTAATGCAAAAATATAATAAAGTAAAATCAAATAAAGATATAAATTAGCAAAATATTTGACCAGTTTCAAATCACAAAACAGTCAATATGGTTGTTTTATGATTTGAAACTAGTCAAATATTTTTCCAATTTTTTTTGCTTTATTTGATTTTCTTCATTACATTTTTGCGCTACTACAAAGTTAAATTTCAAAAAGCCCGCTCGTGGCGGCCATATTGAATTTTAGTACCACTCCAATTTGATAGATGGCAGCACATCGACTCAGAATTTTACCATTGAATTTCCCATCTATTCACATTAGTAATCTATGGTTCTCACCTTATCGAAACTGAGGCCCACAAGGGTAAACTCGTAGGCATTATTAATGTAACTTAAAAAAATAAATACCTACCTTTACTGCAAGGTATTTATCGACTGATGCTTTAGTAAGAAAATCAGTAATAATTTCGTCAGATAAATACCGTCACTTTTTCGCTTTAATAACGTAGTTTCGAATAATTTTCTATATTAAATTTATTCCTTAATGTATATTGATAGTACTTCTAAGCATTGAATAATGGGTCCGTTATTGTTGAGGATTTATATTCTGTGGATAGTTCTGTAAAATACAACATAACAGATTCCGAATACAATTTTATGTTTTTTCCTTTGACTTATTTAAGGAGGTCCTTTCGCCACACCTCTCGCCTCAAATGTTAAAAAAAAAGTTATTAGATTATGACTAAAATTAATTTTTTTCTAATAGTTGAAGTCCTTATTTATCTAATACTGAACTTTTAACTATACCTTACCTTGCAAATTTTTGAGAATTTTTTTTTTAATGTGAGTATTTGTACAGTGCCTCAAGAGAAAGTAAGTCCTCAACAACAATTCTCGAATTTATTGATTAGATGGAGTAGAAAAAAACTAAAAATAAGGTTTTTGAAATATTTAGATTTTGTTTTATACAATAAAATATATATAGTAAACCGTGGAACTTATTGAGAAATTAATATTAAAAAATCACAAAAAATTTTCAAGTAACCTAGTTGAAAATTTTTTGTGATTTTTTAATAATAATTTCTCAATAAATTCCACGGTAACCTATATATTTTATTGTAAAAAACAAAACCTAAATATTTCAAAAACCTTATTTTTAGTTTTTTTCTACTCCATCTAATCAATAAATAATAGTAAAATTAATTATAATTCGAAAATTGTTGTTGAAGTCTTACTTTCTCATAAGACACTGTACAAACACACACATTTTTAAAAAAAAAATTTCTTGAAAATTTGCACGGTAAGGTATAGTTAAAAGTTCACTATTAGATAAATAAGGACATCTACTATTAGAAAAAAATTAATTTTAGTCATAATCTAATATTTTTTATTTAACATTGGTGGCGAAAGGACCTCCTTAAGGAAGATTCATAAGCCATAATACATACTTTTTTTTTGTTTTCTTACAATACATTCCGGGACCCAATTTCAGCAGCTTCTTTTACTTCTGGTGGAGTTATGACATTTCATTTTCAGAATTTAGGAGTGCGTTTAGAAACCTCGCACGGCGCTTTTGACCACATACATTAGAATAGGGTTCACACGCACTCCAGTTTACAAATTATTTTGTACCTAGCCAAAATTTGACGTTTTAATTTAAGTTAATTCGACTTTTAGATGACAGCCGCCGCCTACTTAAGTATCTAAAAATTGCAATCGGTAAATCAATCTTAAAATAAATGCATGGTATTTTAAGAACATTGATATTAAAGTAGTTAAGTTGAACCGAAAATTCTGAAAGTTAGAAGCAATTATTTAATAAAATCAAAACCAATCAGATCTTTCTTCCTAGAGTTATCGTGCCAGCACGCACAAACGACCAGAAAAAATTTTTGTTTTGCATTTATGATGATTGGAAACATGAAATAAAGTCTTAAAAAGTGGGGTTAAGAAATTTTTTTCGTCTGCACGCAATACTGAGGCCCCGTAGGAAGGGCCTCAGTAATTTGAACAAATTCTGATAGTACCCTGCATTAATATAAAAATGGGATTTTTAACATATTTGTTGTTAGTGTTCTGGTTTGAAAGAAGTACCTATATTTAATTTACAATAAATTATAAAAAACTTAGATGTAGTTCTTCATTTGGTAGTGCCCACAACATTCTGTGTTCTTATTTTGTTTACTATATCTTCTCTTTTAAATTTTGTTTAATATCCATTATCTTCAATCTTTATCGATCCTACTACATCTCATAATACTGTCCTTTATGCTATTCTTATTTCTTCTTCGTTTATTTTGGCCATTCGTTACCTTTTTTTATTGGTCTTGGTCATGCATTATTTTTTTAGACCCCTTAATATCTTGCTTTTCATTAGTTTTCTATTAGCTCGAAAATCTGTTCTTATAATAATTTTAATGGATTCGTTATTTTATTACAACTCTTGAGTAACTCTCTATTTTATTCTTTATTACCTCTTTTCTTCAGGTGTAACTTCAGTTTATCTACTATATCGTCAATAGGGGGCTACCTACTATTGTCCACCTCTAGTGCTTTTACACATATATTATATAGTACATTTCCTAGTGAAGTTTTGTCTGTCTAAATAAATTATCCAGTTTTGCCTGTTAAAATACTAATAGTAAAATATAAATATGCCAAATATTACTATAAATGTATTGTATTGTATTGTTAAAATACTAATAGTAAAATATAAATTATTTGCCAAATATTATTATAAATATGTTGTATCTTAAATTCTTCAAAAATGTATTTTTTTTGCAGAATAAATCGGTACTAGAAAATCATCATTGGAGATCAGCGGTTGGCTGTCTTCTCGAAAGTGGAGTTGCTGAGCAAGTGCAATCTTGCAGGATCGAGCTGGAGCAACAAATTCGTGATCTAATTTTAGCCACAGATATTAATCGACAGAATGAATTCTTAACGCGGTTCAAAGTAAGTACAATCCTCTTTAAATAACTTTTATTCTTCTCTTATTCTCTTTCCTATTTACTATTGTGTCTAGTTGTGTCTGTTATAATTGCTATTTCATTTATTCTATATTCTATCCAAATGTTTCGATGCCTTTCTTTCGGTTTTTCCTTGTTCGTTCCTGCTTCTACTACTTTTTTTTATTAATTTTTCTCAAACCATTCCCAATATGTACCCATATAAATTCAATTATTTCTTATTTCCCTTTATTTCTTAATCTGCCTTGTTTTACTACTACAACTATTATTAAAGTATGTTATTTGTTGCCTAAAACGACAAAACTGAAAATGTTTAAACGCACACTATCTTTCCAATAGTTTCTGTATTGAGAAATTTGAATCAATTGTAATTGTTAGGAATATTTTTGTTTAGTTAATGCTTAATATTTATTAATTTACAATATATTGTTTTATGTTTTGTGTTACCCCTGTAATTTTGTTTAACGTCAGTATAAAAAAAGATATTTGTCAATCATAAAATAAAAAGATAAAAAAGCCTACAAATCTCGTTCTATTATCAACATTAGTGGCATCCCTGATAAAATGCAGAGTTTTAAAGTAGAGCGGGATATTTTAAAGAACGGACTAAAGAAAATATTCAAAGAAATAGATGAATTAATTAAAGATGTATGCGTAGATAAGAGGAGTGCACAACGATTACAGCAACTATTAGATGATAAAGCTGAACGTGTGTACATCTTAGATAATAATATTAAAGAAATCATGGTGTCGGAGAATGTAGCAGTGGAAGACATTACAACAGAACTGATGGAAGAGGAGGCCTTTAGAGAAGATATCATTAAGTATAAAGCAGAATGCGAGTACGTGATACAGAATATGGAAGGAGAAAAAGGTAACCAAGGAGCCAGTTCAAAAATGATGAGAAATTTTAATCTTCCAAAATTAGAAATGAAGAAATTTGACGGCAATATCAAAAATTGGATAAACTTCTGGGGTCAATTTAAGAAGATACATGAGGACCAATATATATCAACAGATGACAAGTTTCAGTACCTGCTCCAGGCAACAGAGGAAGGCTCAAGCGTAAGAAATATGATTGAAAGTTTTCCACCTTCAGGAGCTAATTATAATATAGCAATTGATCAAATGAAAGCTAGGTTTGCGAGGGACGAGGTTTTAATTGAAGTGTACGTAAGAGAGTTATTAAATTTGGTTTTAAATCAACAAACTTCAATGGAAATGTCTGGTATAGCATTATCCACCCTATATGATAAATTAGAAACGCAACTTAGGGCATTAGAGTCATTAGGGGTAACAAGGGATAAGTATGCAGCCATGCTTTTCCCTCTTGTAGAATCAGCACTACCTTGCGATTTATTAAAAATTTGGGAACGACACCGCATAGCTAATAATAAACAAAATGTAAATGATTTGCAGGGATTGTTAGATTTTTTAAAAGCAGAGGTTGAGGCTGAAGAACGTACAAAGATTGCCAAAACTAAATTTTTGCAAAATAAGGGGGAGGATGCTATAAATGAAAAAACTGAGCGCAAGTATACAGTAGAGTCATTGTATTCTAAAGGTACGAAAACAAATTTTAAAGAAAAGTTATTTTGTATATTTTGTGATAAAACACACGCAAGCCAGGACTGTATAAAAGCACAAAATATGACTTTAGACCAGAAAAGGACCACTATAATTAAAAAAAGAGGTTGCTTTTCTTGCCTAAAATTGAATCATACTTTCAGAACTTGTAAATCTGTTGTGAAATGCATCATTTATGCAAGAAAACACCATGCTATTATGTGTCCTGACTTGCAAAAGAAAGAAAATGAGAATAAAGACAGAATTGTTGATAAACCAGATGAAAATGTACAAACACTTCAAAACACCTTAACAACTACTATATCCGAGACGCTTTTGCAAACATTAAAGGTTAAACTATATGCAGGTAATAAATATAAAATTGTTAGAATATTATTAGATTCAGGTTCTCAAAGGTCTTATGTAACAAAAAAATGTGCAGAAGAAATGAATTTGTTAAAATTAGGAGAGGAAAATATTGTACAAGGTGTGTTTGGTGGAGCCCAAGGCGAATCCAAAATGTGTCAATTATTTAGTGCAAATATTTATAAGTTAGATAAATCTTTTAGCATAAATGTTTCAGTATTGGAACAACAGAGAATATGTAACTACATTCCAAAGCTAAATGATATAAAAATAATTGAGTATTTGAAAAATAAAGATATAATTTTAAGTGACATAAGTAATAATGATTGTGAAATAAGTTTATTAATAGGTGCTGATAATTTTGGAAAACTGCTAACAGGTAATATCGAGAACATAGATGATAATCTTTTTGCGGTAGAAACAAAATTGGGTTGGACGGTAATGGGACAACAATATTGCATTAATCAAAATAAATGTATTGCTTCGTACTTTACGGGTTGTTCTATTACTAATCTTTGGAACCTAGATGTATTACGTATAAAAGAATCTGCCGAATCTAAGAATAAAGAACTACTAGAGGTAGAAACATTAAATTATTTTAGGAATACTACTGTATTAAACAATGAAAATCGGTATGAAATTTATTTACCATGGATACAGGGTTGTCCGAATATATGTTCCAATTATAATTTAGCTGAAAAACGGTTATTTTCAAACACTAGAAGATTAATTACACTTGAAAAGTTTACAGTTTACGGTAAAGTGTTTGAAGAATGGGAAAAACTAGGAATAATTGAAGAAGTATCAGAAGAAAATGTTAATGAAAATGTGCACTATTTGGCTCACCAAGCAGTGATTAAGGAGTCAAGTAATACAACCAAGATTCGACCGGTATTTGATGGTTCAGCAAAGGACAAAAATGGTAACTCATTAAATGATTTGTTACAAAAAGGTCCAAATTTGATAGAATTAACAATTCCGCTTATAATAAAATTTAGAATCCATAAAATTGGGCTTACAGCGGATATTACAAAGGCATTTTTGCAAATAAGTATAATAGATAAAGATAGAGATTATTTGCGATTTTTGTGGTGGCAAAATTACTCTGAAAGAATTATTAAAATATATAGGCACTGTAGAGTTGTTTTTGGTCTTAAACCTAGTCCTTTTAGAAACATTGATTGAAAGTGATAATGAATTTAAAGAAACCGCCAAAGTACTATTAAATGCTTTTTATGTAGATAATTGTGTACATAGTGTTAGAAACAGTATAGAGTTAAAAATGTTTATTAAACAATCCAAAGATTTATTGGAAAAGGCACATTTTGAATTAAGAGGGTGGACATATAATAGTACAAATGAAAATAATTTTGAACCTGGTAATTCTAATCATAATGTTTCAGTGTTAGGTATTTTGTGGGATTTTAAATATGATAACTTTATATGCGATATCCAAAATTTAGGCAAATTCCAAGAAATACCAAGAACCAAACGAGGATTACTATCCGCAGCTCAAAAAATTTTTGATCCCATTGGCTTTACAGCACCTGTTACTTTATTACCAAAGCTTTTATTACAGGAAACTTGGAAGTTAAAACTTTCATGGGATCAAAAATTGCCTGAAGAAATAATCGAACGTTTTGAAAGTTGGTTAAAAAATGTAAAATTTTTAAGCCTATGTGCCATTCCAAGGCACATTGCAGAGCATAGAGACGAACAAGATATAAAGCATATTAGTCTTCATGTTTTTGTAGATGCTAGTAAATTAGCATATGCTAGTTGCATTTTTGTTCGGCTGGAATTCGAAGAAAAGGTTTTAGTCACACTTTTACTAGCAAAAACAAGAATATCACCTGTAAAACCAATCACACTTCCGAGGCTTGAACTTATGGCAGCTCTTATAGGAGCAAGATTAGCTCATACTGTGCAACAAGTTGACTATCTAAGAAATAGACCAGTATTCTTCTGGAGTGATTCGATGGTCACATTAACTTGGATAAAAACAAAAGGTAATTGGAATACGTTTGTAGACAACCGGATAAAGGAAATAAGAAAGTTGAGCACAGTCGACCAGTGGAATCATGTACCAGGTGTCCTAAATACAGCCGATATTTTATCACGAGGTTGTAACGGAAAACAATTACTAGAAAAACAATGGTGGTGCGGTCCTGATTGGCTTAAAAATAAAAGAGAACTGTGGCCTAACGGAGAAATGATTTTCGATGGAGTAAATGAAGAAGTAAAGAAGGAAAGAAAAGTAGTAAATACAAATGTGGTAGAAAATAAAATGCAATTCTCACAGAATCTAGGTTATTTTTCAAAATATTCAAAGATAAAGAGAATGTTAGCTTGGATGTTGAGATTTTATTTTAACAGTAAAAATAGGATAAATCAAAACAGAAGAAATGAATTGACTTCTGAAGAATTAGAAAGGGCAGAAAATTGCTTATTTAGGATGATACAAGAGGAAAGTATCACAAATGAGTTGGATAGATTTAAAAGGTTTCAGATTTTTCAGGATCAAAACGGAATTTTAAAATTAAAAACAAGATTGGTGTATGGTGATTTTACAGAAGAATTTAAATATCCTATAATTTTGCCGGATAAACATGATATCGTTAGGAAACTTATTATGGAGGAACATATATCGCATTGTCATGCAGGCCCAAAAATATTATTGGGTATTCTTAGGGAAAGGTTTTGGATACTTAGAGCTAAGAAAGTAGTTCATGATATTATATCGAAATGTGTTGTTTGTAGGAAACAAAATGTTAAATCGGTCCAAACGCCATTTGCACCATTACCGGAAAACCGAATTAAGAATGCAGGTGTTTTTTGAAGTGATTGGAGTAGATTTAGCAGGTCCTTTGTATTTGAAAGATAGTAGTAAAGTTTGGATTGTACTGTTTACTTGTGCGATTTATAGAGCGGTTCATTTAGAACTAGTGAAATCTTTATCAACAGAAGCATTTTTATATGCCTTAAGACGATTTATAAGTAGAAGGGGAAGACCACAAATAGTTTATTCAGATAACGGTACTAATTTTCATGGGACTGATAATAATTTTGCGAAATTAAATTGGGATGAAATTGAAATATTTTCAGGAATTAAAAGAATAAAATGGCTTTTCAATCCACCATCCGCTGCTTGGTGGGGTGGGTGGTGGGAGAGGTTAATAAGATTAATAAAAGAACTTTTGCGTCGTAACTTGGGTAAAGCATCTTTGTATTACGTAGAGCTTTATACCATTCTATGTGATGTTGAATCGGTCATAAATCAAAGACCGCTAACATACGTATCAGAGGACGATTGGGAAATTTTAAGTCCGTCCAAATTTATAAAACCACTACAGGGTGCGTCGACTGAAGTTGTTGATTTAGACCTTATTGATACACAAAATTTAAGGGGTAGATTTCGTTATATGCAAACGTTAAGGGAATCTCTAAGAAAACGATTTAAAAGCGAATACCTCGCAGAACTGGTGAACGTTGGTCAAAGGTTAACTCAGTCTCTGAAGGTCGATGACGTAGGATTGGTCGGGAATGACAGTACGAAAAGAACGGAATGACCATTGGGTAGAATAGTTGAAATTTACAATGGAAAGGATAATGTAACTAGAGTAGCCAAAGTAAAAACTGCCACTGGGTACATGGTTCGACCATACCAACGACTCTATCCACTTGAGATGTCGAAAAAGGAAAAAGGTAGAGTAGTAGAGCAGACAACGAAAAAGAAAACAGAAGAAAAGGCGAGGAAAGAAGTAATAGACAATGGCAATCTGAATGAAGAAAGAAGGTCTCGGTATGGAAGAATTCTAAAACAACCCGAGAGGTTGGAAATTTAAATCCCGGGGCCGGAGGATGTTAGGAATAGTTTTGTTTAGTTAATGCTTAATATTTATTAATTTACAATATATTGTTTTATGTTTTGTGTTACCCCTGTAATTTTGTTTAACGTCAGTATAAAAAAAGATATTTGTCAATCATAAAATAAAAAGATAAAAAAGCCTACAAATCTCGTTCTATTATCAACAGTAATAATAAGCACGTTGGACTTATTTTATTTGTGAGTCTTTAAGTATTTTATATTATTTATTGCATTTTGTGTTTATCTTCGCCACAAAAGTTATTTAACCATTAGTAGGTAGATACATAAACCACAAGTTTTGTCTTATTTTGTTTCATAAACTTTTCTCGTACTTTTATAACACAAATACACAAAGTCTTTAAAGTTCTCCCAGACATTTATGTACTCTGTCTCTGAATCATTTCTTATTGTTTCAAGAAACACCTAGACGAGGGCACTTTGGATTTGAGACAGGCCGAACACAGGCAGTTCATTATGCAAATAGCTTTGAAGTGCGCGGATATTTCGAATCCCACCCGCCCTTGGGACATATCCAGGAAATGGAGCTTAAAAGTCTGCGACGAGTTCTTTAGACAGGGGGAGTTTGAGAGGAAACTAAATCTTCCAGTTACTTCCATATGCGATCAGCAATCCACTTCAGTTGCCAAAATTCAAGTTGGTAAGTTTTGAAATTAGTTCAGTCAATATTATCTAAACGGAAACTATTTTAACATTTTGATGTAGCTCGTAGAATGACGAATGTTTTCTTAAAAGTGACTGATAATATGGGTGGCCCGATGATATTTTCTAAAAGGATCAACCAGTAAATTGAAATTGAATTTTCGATATAAGTTCTAATATTTCATCCAAAGTCAATCACAGACAGCGCATAGCAAGAAAAAATAAGGTGCTAAAGGTGAAATATTTGGTGAAATATTTCAAAAATATAAGAATTAATTTTAAAAAAACTGTACCTATTTAAAATGAAAGTAACTAAAAGTTCCTAGGTAATCCAAAATTTCTCTAAATAAAGTTGTAATAAACTACTAATTATACATAATATATAAATGTAAATTATACCTATAGATATAAAATACACACAAACTGAGTGTCTCATGCCCTCTTTTATGAACTTGTTTTTTGAACAGGGTGAATAGAATCTTTATTTAATATAGGAAGTCCTAATACATAGTAGTTTTTAAAAAAGATTACATATTATCGTCAGTCTGCACAAATTCAGTTGAATAAATAAAATAAAATAAAATCTTGATAGAATTAGTAATAAAATCAGTAATAAAAGTAAGACGTTTAGTACTAAAGATAAAATAAAATAAATACATATTAAAGTAAACATACAAAGTTAATTTAGTTAATTTAATTTACGGACTGGAAATAAATTGTATTAAACATTTTTTAAACTGAGGTAGAGAGGTAGGGTACCAGGTAGGTTAACTGAACACTTGCGTACATCTGTCATGTCATTGTTGGTAATGGCCTCTACTTTTGGAAGTTCAGTGACTTGCTAACAGATGTCACTATAAGTTTATTAATAAATTCTAAAATATTACGAATAAAGCGATCATAACCTAAAATAATTTTAGTAGCGGCTATGTAAATTTTCGACCTCCCAGATATTTTGTGCCACATGCCGAAATCAGTGATACACCCAAAATCTTAGTGGATAGAACTTAAGCGTGAGTACTTTACTATTGATTACCATTATTAAAACTATTGCTAAACCTTATGCTGCTTCGAAATTATTTGTTTATATTTTTTTACATATACAACAGGTTATCTGGACACAAGTCACAACAGGTTAAATGAATAGGTGTCCAGTTAACCTGCAATTTGTAAATTAGCGATTTTCGTAATTTTTTGTTTGTTTTTCTTTTCAGAGCCAATTGTTTCAGAATTATGCCACGTATCAGGGCACGCACGACCAACAACAGGTCATACTCTGCCGAACTAGTAAAGCAAGCAGTCTAAGAAGTTCTGGAAAAAGGTAGTTCGGTGAGAATTGTTGCCATGACCCTAAATATACCCAGAATTACCTTGAAAAGATACGTCGATAAAGCTCGAGATAAAGACATAAATTCCATTAACTTTCGACCAAACAATGAGCATCTAATGGTTTTTTTCGCAAGAGGAAGAACTTGTTTTAAAGAAATATATTCAACATGCTTGCAATATTCACTACGGTTTATCAAGCAAACAAACTCGCACTCTAGCCTACGAATACGCGGTGACTAACAACAAAAGTGTTAAAGACAGTTGGATCAGAGAGAATGGATGGTTAGCTTTATGAAGAGACACAAACTATCATTAAGAACCCCAGAACAGACCAGCATGAGTAGAGCAACAAGCTTCAACAAAACAAATGTTGAAGCTTTTTTCAAAAACCTTCTAGAGGTAAAAACGAAATTTAACTTCGAAAGCGAAGACATCTATAACTTGGATGAAACCGGAGCAACTACTGTTCACAAGCCGCCCAAAATACTAGCCACAACAGGCTAAAAAGGCGTGGGCCAAATAACTTCTGCTGAACGAGGGACATTGGTTACAGTTGGCGCTACAGGCCGTTACGTACCGCCGTTCTTTATATTCCCTCGTGTCCATTTTAAGGATAACGTGTTACACGGAACTCCACCTGGGACAAAAGGCGCCGCTACTCCATCTGGATGGATGAACAGCAGTTTATTTCTACCTGTTTTACAGCACTTTGCTCAGCATGAAAGACCGTCCAAAGAACACCCGAAGTTGATCCTACTTGATAACCACGAAAGTCATTTGAGTATTGCTGCACTCAATTTTGCAAAAGAAAATGGCATAATTCTCCTAACTTTGCCCCCACACTGCAGCCACAAGCTTCAACCTCTTGACGTTGCAGTTTTCGGTCCATTTAAAAAGTTTTATAATAATGCTTGTGACAGGTGGATGGTAAATCATCCTGGAAAGACGATTACAATATATGAAGTCGGTGGTCTCGTAGGAGAAGCTTTCCTACAGTCTTTTACTCCGAAAAATATTTGCAGTGGATTCAGGGCCACCGGCATAGAACCATTTAATGCCGACATTTTTCCTGAAGAGGCTTTTTTATCATCGTATGTGACAGACAGACCAAACCCCGAACAATGTCAATTATCCCAACCCCAAACGGAGGAAGAAATACCTGCCAAACCGTCACCAATGACAATAGAACCAACACCTGGTCCTTCAAACGAGAAATTAAACTTAAACCAAAACGAACTTCTAAACTAATAACACCTCAACAAATTCGTCCCTTTCCAAAAGCTGCTCCAAGAAAAATGGCAACTAGGCGTAAGATAGGAAAATCCTTGATTCTAACCAACACTCCCATCAAAGAAAGTCTAGAAGAAGAGGCTAAAAATCGTGAAGATAAGAAAAATAAACAACAAAAAGTAAATGAAACCAAAAGACAAGAAGTAACGAAACGTATTTTGGAATCTAGCTTCTCTGCCAGCGAAGAAAATATAAGTTATCACGAAAGTTCAGATTCACTAGAGGATTTTGACGATTACAATGAGATATCCAGTGATGTTTTAGAGGGAGACTATATTACTAGTAAAAGTTTTTGGAAAAACTGCTATAAACTTTCGACATTATGTTGCTAAAGTTCGTAAGCAAATGCTCAATGGTTACCTCGTAACTTTTCTGAAACGTTATAACTCAACCAACAAATTTATAGATGAAAATGAAATGGGTTTCGTATCCAAAGAAGATGTTGTTTTGAAATTACAACCTCCAATAAAAAGTAGCAACGCTCGCTTTGCAAACATGACATCATTTTCCATTGATTTCAGTGATTTAAATTTAACAGTTTTTTAAAATTTTCTGATATTTTAGCTAATACATTTTTCCTTATGTAAGTTTCATTATTTTTTTCAAACCTCTAACTTATATATTTTTGAAGTATTTTATTATTATTTTAAAGATATGTTCAATTAAACTACCCATATGTTCAATTAACCTACCCATATGTTTCAGTTAACCTGCACATGGGGTTAACTGAACCATATTGCAGGAATGCAAAAAATTAAAAAAAAATAGGCTTCTTTTAATAAACTGTGTGTCAGCTGTATTTTTTTCCATTGTTATATGATCAAATTATATGCCCTAGATAAAATTTTGGTCTAAGCTTTCATACCGGAATATCAATTTAAATATTTCCATCAGATGGTTCAGTTAACCCCATGTTACCCTACTCGTTTTAATTTGACTAGGCAACGCATTAAATTCACGTAATATACATATAAAAATAGATTTTGTGGCTGTAGCTCGTCTTGTTTGTGGAATATAAAAATTATTAACAGATCTTGTATTGTAGTTATGTATTTCATTATTGTAGATGATAAAATCATTGAAGTACTCAGGAAGTTTTTATTTTTTGCTTTATAAACAAAAGTCATTGCTAAATAATAAAATCTTTGTCTGACTGAAATCTAACTGAAAGTAGTCAGCATACCATTTATTGGTGTGTATCTGTTACATCGAAGGATTATTCTTATTCCTCTATTTTGCAATTTTTGTAGTCTTTGTAAATAGCTATTATCCAATTTTTAAAGCAACGATCCGCAGTAGTCAAAATGAGGTTGTATAATAGTGTAAAGGACTGGTGTAAGAAATGTACCACCTGTGCTATGAGTAATGGACCTCAACGAAAAAGGAAGGCGCCCATTAAGCAATACAACGTTGGTAGCCCATTTGAGAGGATGGTAATAAATACATTTTGGTGGTTATGGATTATTTTACAAAGTGGGTGGAAGTCTATGCCATTCCAAATCAAGAGGCCGCAACTGTTGCAGATGTATTGATAAAAGAGTTTATCTGTCGATTTGGAGTGCCCTTGGAGATCCACAGTGACCAAGGCAGACATTTTGAAAGCCAACTCTTCCGTGGAATCTGTGACAGACTAGGCATGAAGAAAACCCGAACCACAGCATTGCACCCACAATCTGATGGAATGGTAGAGCGAATGAATAAGACCATTGGAAAATATTTGTCAAAAGTAGTTTCAAACCATCAGCGAGATTAGGATCAGTATCTTTCGCTCTTTGCAATGGCTTATAGATCCGCTGTCAATGAATCAACAGGCCAAACACCAGCAAAGGTCTTGTTTGGGCGTAAGATGAGACTACCATGCGACCTCGAGTTTGGCTGCCGACCTGGAGAAGATGTAGCTGGTGAAGATTATGTGATCCAGTTACGAAGAAGAATGGACGACATGCATGAATTAGTTCGCTCGCATCTCCAAATCGCCAGCGACATGTTGAAGAAACGGTACGATACTCAAGCTACGGAGGGATGTTTCAAGGAAGGCGACAAAGTATGGCTTCATAACCCAAAAAGGCAAAAGGGTTATTCTCCGAAGCTTCAAAGGTCTTGGGAAGGTCCGTACCTCATCAAGAATAAAATAAATGATGTAATTTACCGTATAAGTAAGATCCCAAACGGTAAACCAAAGGTAGTGCACCAAAACAGGCTGGCGCCATTTGAGGGTGACCATGAAGAAGAAGTAAACCAACTTCAAGAAATACCAGACCTTGTCTTTGAAGAATTTATGGGTGCATATGGAGGTACTGGAAAAGCCAGATATAGTGTTACGACCGAGCAACAACAAGATCTGCTCTCGCTTCCAAAAAACTACTCGCTGGTCCATAGTACTTCCGCCAGCATCAACGACGCGCGAGGACTGGCATATGTGTTCCGTAAGAAGTTTGGTCGACTGGTAGAACTTCAATGTCAGTTACTAGCCCCTGGAAAAGCCTTGAAACTTCAAGACGGGTCACGGTATCTTTTTTATTTAATAACGAAGAACACCTTCCAAGACCGATCCACCTATCAGGATGTATGGGAAGCATTACTTAGTCTAAGGGAGCATGTACTGGAGTCCAATGTACAGAAACTAGCCATGCCGAAGATAGAAGGAAATCAGCTGGATTGAAGGATCATTAGTAACATGGTGGAAGTAATCTTTCAAGATACCGGAGTTCAGATATTGGTCTGCAGCCATTTGCCCAGTGCCCAGGTTACAGCGAAGACAGTCCCTTGTTACTTCCATGCAACTGGAAATTGTAAAAGAGGGTTTAGTTGCAGATACAATCATTCCATTTTATTTTCCTAAGAGTTCCAGGAGGAACTATCTCTTAAGGAGGGGGCAATGTTATGTGAGCCATTTCATTATTTAGTCATGCTCTAACCCTACAAGTCCCTCTCTGTCTTATTTGGCCTTTGAGGCTCAACTTGTCCGATTATTATACATAATTAAACCCCTTAAGACCAAACCTATGGGACGACTATGGTGGAGACACTTTCGCGAACATTCCAGGATCAACGAGATACTATTTCTAGAACGTGATAACGTTTCTGGTACATACTGGCAATTTTGGTAGGGGAGCATTCTAGATCACCAATTTGTATATAAATTGGTGGAGGAGAGCCATCAAAATAAGTATTATATGGACAGTGAAGATAAATAGTTATTAGTAGATAGACAGTGGTGAATATAAATAGTGAGCGATTCAAAGACATTCGAAGTATATATAAATTAAAATAGTATTGTTTAAAATAAATAAGTGTTTAAATAAATTATTAATAAATAAACTGTTGTTTGAAAATAGACAAACATCACAATATGTAGTTGTATAGATTGCTAAAAGCGGCTCCTTTTGCGATAGGCCATATTGCCTCCCAAATGCTCATTAACCAGAATCAGTTTAGCAAAAATGTGTTTTAAAACCAATTTTCAGCCTTTGAATATAGTAAACAAATAATTACCTACATTTTTTTTTACTTCAAGGCATAAACTTATGTTTATTTTAAAAAACATGGATGATAAATCTATATAACTATCTATTTCATTGACCCTGTCAAATCAATAGGCTTACAGGGTTGCCATAATGTTGCCATATCATAACCTGTCAAAACCCACTAGTAGCCATTTTGTTTGGAATACCTAATTTTGTAGAAATTAACCTCAGATATTTAAATTCCATCCATTCAATCACCCATCGCATTCACGTAAGATTTGTTTATTATAATTGGAATAAAAAGTTTTAAAGCGAAATATAAAACCAAAACTTTTGAAATGCGTGGAAATGTTCATTAAATATGGCTTCCCTCGTCTTAAAAATCTTCGAGGATTCTGAAGATCGTCTTCTAAGTCTTGCAATTCATGTATTGCCAAAAAGAACGACAAGCTCATCTTCTTCCATGTCTTGAACTATTTAATTTAAACGTTTGTTAAGATTTTTGTTAAAAATTCAACTCTCCAACAATTACAAATCAAAACTTTGCTGTTTTGCTTCGAATTATACATGTTACACCTTATAAAACTAGATTCAAACAAAAAGACAACAACACTAATAACTAATAAGTAATCACAGAATGTGACAGACGACATAACCTTAAAAGAAATATCCAACATCCACATGATAAAACCCATGTAAACTTGCCACACAATTTTTCACGTGAAGTGAACACTCGTCAGTTTGCCAAGAATACGATTTGTGCAAATTTCATGTAAATTATCCAACGAGTGAACAATTCGAACGTAGTTTGAGAATTGGGGCCCTGGATTAGTTGCCAACCGGTCCTGGTTTTCGGTGGACGTCCACCATTTGGGGTGCATTGTTCAGTGTCCTGCAACAACCTACTGCTGGACGCTTATTGAACTTAATTTTAGTGTTTCAAATAATATCTCCAATTTCATATATTTCATAGTTACATTGGCTTCGTCGCTTATTTTGAAATTTGTATTTTCTATATTTTGGTCCAATGCTAACGCTGAAAGGATATTTTCAATGTGTTCAGCTTCTTGGACTGACGCGCGTAATCGATTGTCCATTTAACATATCAAGGCCGAACTTCAAATAAAGATGAATTATTCTTATACTTGCAAATAATTTTTTAAAAGCTAATAGTAGCTGCAAAAAGTAAAAAAAAATATGGCTTTAAACACAGTGACACTGTTAAGTAGCTATAATTTTTTATATTCTTCTTATGTTCTTTTTAAATAAAATGTTTATTCATTAATTTCTATTTACTTTGTTTTTTTTTTGTCGAATTGTTTATTTAAGTTTGTTAGTTTTGCAATAATACAAATGTCCAGAATTTATATCTTATGTCCTGAATTTTTATTACCCTCGTCCAGAAAAATTAAAAAACAAAGTTGGCAACCCTACCCTGGATGTGTCGTGTTAAAACTAAGCTAACCCTAGTAGAAATGGCCAAAGTTGTCCAGAAATCTACCGAGTGATTTTACTTCTCACTTAGTGGCAAAAGTTTCAATTTTATTTTCATTTGATATTACATAAGTGTAGTATAACTATACTAGAAATTTAGACTGTACATGTGCTTGGATTAGTAAGCAGTTCTGAATCATATTTTTTCTACAATTTTACAATTTCTGTTTTGTAGGTTTTTTCAAAAACGTTGTAAATCCGTTATTCGCCGAATGGCACCGGTTCATGAAGAGCCCGCTCTCAACACACATGATGGATATCCTGGACGATAATAGAAAGAAATGGGAAGCTCAAGAGAAAGCCGAATTGGCCGAGGAGACACAAACCGAATTGTCTGACGCCGAGCCCGAAGTCAGTGATGAAGAGGAAGAGCAGGCCTCGACCAAAACCTCAGGAACCCACAGCATTCAGGAATATATTCCAACTCCTCCGAGGTAAGAAAACTATCATAATTTTATTGCCTCGAGGTCCTTTTGGGCCTCTATATTGCCACTGCGTATCTTAATCATAACGAGAGAAAAATATTTATCTCCTAAAATAGTTGTTCTTATGTTGTACGCCACTATCCTCTTTGAGAAATAATACAGAGACAAAAAACATATTATTTATCGTCTGTTACAACTCATAAAGATTATAAACTGGTCAATATAAAACGATTTACCACATTATTCTAGATTAGGGATAAGTCACAGTTTCCCAGTGTATGTCTGTATATAATTTACTATTAGATTAGATTTAGATTTAATTAGGACTATGGGCCATGTGGCCTCCCCCACCTCGACCTTTTCAGATCTATTGTGGATATCCTTTAATCATTGTTTAGAGTACCTTGTCTAATGCGGTCTTTTGTAGTAAACTCCATAGACTGGAAAGTAGTTCTCCGGTATAGCTAGTTGCCCTTGGTTTTTCTTCTCCAAGTGTAAGGAATCTCAGTCTTACTAGACCTTCGCAGTAGCACAATACGTGTTCTGCCGTTTCCTCTTCTTCTTGACAGAATCGGCACAAGGCCTCTTCTGTCAGACCGATATTGAACATATGTTTGTTAAGCCTACAATGCCCTGTTAATAGACCTACTAGTATTCTAGTATTTTTCCTATTAAGGCTTAGTAGATGCTCGGTGAGTTTAGACGATGGTCCTTTTAAGAACTTTTTGGCCTGTCTCTGTCCTGGTGAGTTTTCCCACCACTCCTGAGATTTTTTAAACATCCACTGCTTTGTGCATGTTCTGATAGTTGTTTTTGTTACACCACAGAAGGGTTCTGGGCCAATAAGAGCATTTGATGCTCCTTCTCGGGCTAGTAAATCAGCCTCTTCATTGCCTTTGTGTCCCCTGTGGCCTGGTACCCACGCTAAGGTTAGTCTGTTTTGACTACCCAGCTCTGTTAGGGCTTCCAAACAGTCCCACACAAGCTTTGAGTGTACCTGCATGGAACTGAGTGCTTTTAACGTCGCTTGACTGTCTGAGTATATGACAATGGTTTTCCCATTTACCTTCTGTCTTAATACTTCTTTTGCGCAGTGATGTATTGCTGCTATTTCTGCCTGGAATACTGTCGCATGTTTACCTAAGCTCAGTGAGATTCCTGTCTTTGGCTTGGTACTATATATACCTACTCCTGAACCTTCATGGGTTTTGGAGCCGTCTGTATACCAGGTGAGATCTGCATGAATAGGAGGTCCTCCCGTCCACGCTTCCCTGTCTGGTATACTTACTTTATATTGCTTTTGAAAGCTATACTTTGGAAGCATTTCGTCTGAAGGCATTCCCATTATTTGGTCGTTCTCCAACTCTTTATATAGCTCGCTGTAGTCGCGTCCATGCAAACTGCTTATGGGCGATGAACCTTTGTGCAGTCTGTATGTGACAGACCTGGCTTCGCCTTGAATGAATATATGTAGTGGTGTTAGGTTTAGCATGACTTCTATAGCTGCTGTTGGAGTCGTTCTCATAGCTCCCGTGGTACTCAGGCATGCTTGCCTTTGAATACCATTGAGCTGTCGAATGGCTCCAGCTTGCCTAGTCTTTGGCCACCATACCACCGACCCGTAGGTTATCATCGGCCTTATGACTCTGGTATATAACCACAGGGACATTTTTGGTTGTAATCCCCAATTTTTTCCACACAACCTTCGACATAAGTTGAAGGACGTTGTGCTCTTTTGGGTGACTTTTTGCAAGTGTTGATTCCATGTTAACCTGTGGTCAAAGATGACTCCCAAGTATTTGGCCTCTTGAGCGAATGGAATCTTCACTCCTTTCAGTACTGGTGACTTTAGTCCTGTTGGTACTTTTCGTTTTGTAAAGTTGACTATTGTGGTTTTGTGAGGGTTTACTGTTAGTTCCTCCTCTCTGCACCACTCGTCGACAATGTTTAGAGCGGTTTGTGTGCGCTCCGATATTGTACCTGCGAACTTGCCTCTTACGACGATCGCCAGGTCATCGGCATACCCTAGGCAGTAAAAATCTTCAGATATTAGCCTTTTTATAAGTTCATCCACTAGGACTGACCAGAGAAGGGGTGATAGTACTCCTCCCTGGGGGCAGCCCCTGCCTGCTTTAGCTGTCAATGTAGCTTCGCCTAGAGATGATGTTATTACCCTTTCTTCTAGGCTGGCTTTTATCCACTGACATAGGACTACTGGTACCCCTTTTATTTACTATTACTCAAGTCTTTATTTTCCTTATCCTTATTTATGGAGGTACAGAAATTTAAACGCCAAAGCCAAATCTATTAGAGGTGTAAAGGTGGAAGTGAGGAGATGATGCTCTTTATTGCTTAATTCAATTCTTGCCATTCGAAATTCAGGTTCATCCCTCTTATATGTAGCAATTCCAGTTGGCTACGCTATCCAGGAGGGCAAATCCTCATGGACCCCAAGTGCTTGGTTTAATCGCGCCTGGGAGTGTGAGACTCCGGCTTTTGGGTGCAATACTGTCCTACCCACTAAAACCCCTTATTTTTAACCACAGCATCCTGGCATTATCTTCAAAGAAATTCATTCGGGGTGCTAGGTGGTCTTCATTCTTGCTTTTTTTCTATTGCGAGCTACTTTTAATATATTCTAATGCGCGTTGATAGGCATTTCGTCCTCCTCTTTTGTACTGATTATATCTTTTGCTAGTTTTCTTATCGCCTCCCACGTGCTGGAATCCGCTGCCATCCTTTCTCTAATTTCTGTTGCATTTAGAATAATTGTACCTATCTCATTCCACGTTCTTTGTATCTCTATTTCCCATCTATGGCAATGAAAAATAGTATGCGCTGGGATGTCAGATGCCTCGCAGTACATGCAGATGTCTCCCTCGATCTTGTTTATTTTCTTTGCATAGGACATAAAACATCCATGCGCCGTTAGTATCTGTGACGTCTATATTCGCACTCGTACCAATTTATTACGTTGCTGATTATTAGCTTAGTCCACTGCACTTTTTCATAGTATTCTGCCACTCTTGTTGCCATTTAGTAAGGCCTAGCCTCTCTTTTGAACAATCTTGGCTCCCTGCCGTTTTCTCTTCCATGAAACCTAGCTCTCTCGGATACCCGAAGATATATCGATACCGTGCATTACTTGTACGCCCTTTAGTGAAGTTGTCTTGTAGGCGCTGGCGACCCTTACCGACGCTATCCAACCTGCCTACTTTTCAGTGAGCTTGGTCCATCTTCCAGGGCTAAATTCCTTTTAGTGCTTTCTCGTCGTTGTCCAACATTAGTAGCAGTTCCCATCCTTCGTGTCCTTGAGGTTTTTGATGGTATTCGCCGCGGAGTTATTTTTAAGTACTAACTTTACCTTTCCCAGCAAATCTTTACACGATTTTCATTGATTATCATTTCCAAAGTGAACTTTTCTTCCTCTACCTGCTTTAAAAAATGTCTAGCTTAAGCCATATTGTCGTCGTCTATTGAGTCATGAGCAATTTTTATTATTTTTTTTACGTATAGCATCCTGCCTTTGCTTTGTGATCTAATTATAATGCTTTGCTACATGACCTCTAAGCTTTCGTCCAGAGTTTCAAGTTCTGGGAATTTGTCTCTGTACCCTCTTTGAATACTCTTTATTCATTCATGGGTTCTTTGGCTCTATCAGACCTACCTTGGCCGTTTTATCGTCGGTATTGATTAAATTTCCTATGGTAACATTCGTGTTCGTTAAAAGCTCTTCCGTCCATTCCTTGACCTTCTCTCTACAGAAGTAATAAATGTGTTTGACTTCTTCTAGCCATTTCTTTCGTACGCTTATCCGTTTGAACATCGGGCTTTCATTTTTCGTTTATCCCTCTCCAAAAAAATCAATATTGAACTGGTCGACGTTTCTTCTTAATATTATTATGGATATTTGGTACTTCCTTAAGTAGGTCGTTCTGGGGCATCTGGAGTCACCTTTCGGCGACGTTATTAACCTGCAGGTATTTGACTTGAGAGGCTAGCTATCTTTAGAGTTGATAACCTGCAAGACTTTGATGAGCTGGGAAAATAGCTAACTGTCTTTAGACACATCACTCTTTTAAAATTTTATATTTTAATTTCATTTGAGATTTGTGACAATATTACAGAACTAGGGTAAGAAAAAAAGACAAAAAGAATAATTCTGATACGCTTTTATTGTCTCACCAAGAAGTAGCAACCGATCCTTTTTTTCTTTTTATTCTGTATCTTAGTCTTTTTATTGTTTAAAACCTTTTTCAATATTTATTCAACATAATGTTATATTCGTTTTGTTTTTATTACAGAGAAATTAGAAGACAATCACTAGCTGTCCCCACCCTAGAGTCATTAGGAGTAAGGAGACACTCTGTACCCGTTAACATGGAGCAATCACTGCCAAGAACAATTTACAGAAGAGAGAGCCTACCGACGGGTCGGGGCATCCCATTCGGACGATCGCCTATCAGCCCACAGACTGAATCTAGAGCTTCCAGTGGCCTTAGAGAGGAAGACGAACTGTTACGGTATGGCTCCCAATCTGACGTTTCATCTTCTAGTCCGCTTCATTCGACAGGTAAGTCAGTAACGTCGCAAATAAAAATGAATACTACTTTTTTGATTGATATGTGACTACAGTTGTTTTCTAACCACTTTCATAGCAAATGTTATGGTATTTACGGTTACTATTAATCAGGCTTTTAACATCTCAACCTTCAGGTCGGGAGGATCGAAACGTCGAGTGAAATGCCATTTTTAGATTGTGATGGTGGACTGGTTAGAAATAACTCTATATACCCTTGGAGGATGCACGATGGATATATAGAAGCCTAAGAGATGTGGAGGAAATCCAACTTCCTCTTCTTTCAGATACAGGTCCCAACCAAAAAAATTAGTTTTTGCTGAATTCTTACTTCTTTCCGAATCCAAACCAATAGAAATGTACCTATTTACTTTTGATAAATTGCTATTATCTTATCAATACACATATCGCTTATTAATTTATCCTAATATTTATCATCCAATGGTCCATATTTCTTTCTTAGCAACGCTTAGCCATTAAGATTGTTTGGTTGCTTCGAAATCAAGCTGAATTCCCTTTTTTAACCGCTAGTTTTTTACAAATTGTACCTACTTAGAGAATTTTGATTTTCTCTAAGTGGCATTATAACATTTTTCTGATTACAATAAGAAGAACACATGGTCATCACTTGGCGAAGTAATTCATGACGATTGTATCCTACTGGGGATTTAGCGACGTGTTAATATTATAGGATTATAAGAAAGATTTTTATATCCAACAGCTTACTTCTTTATTTATTAATTGATAAATATAGATAGTATTTGAAATTCTAAATAATGGTTATGAGGTAGCGGTGTTCTTTTTATTATAATCGGAATTGTATTATGGTAGCAACTATGATACAGAATAGACCCCCTAATGTATTGTCTGGCTCTGTTACGAAATAACGCTGAACGAAATAGCGCTTATCAAAATAGCGCTGAACGAAATAGCGCTGAACGAAATAGCGCATGATCAAAATAGCGCGTATCAAAAGGGCGCCTAAACGAAATAACGCGTATCAAAAGAACGTCAGTCAATACAGCACCTTATTGAAAAAGCGCCTTTTAAAATAGTGAGTATTGAAGCAGCATCAGTCCAAAATGGCTCTGTCACGAAATACCGACGCACGAAATAGCGCTTTTCAAAGTAGCGCTATTGTTTTTACATAAATTGATTAAAAATAACTTAACTAATTCTCCTAACCTGTACGACCTGGGGCCTGTTTCATAAAAATGAAGAGTTGAGGAGTGAGGAGCGGCATAATGTTAAATTTCATTTCATAAAAGATTTGAAGGGTTGAGGAGTGAAGGGTTGAAGAATGACGAGGTGAAAAGTTGAATAGTTTTTAAAATTTGTATTTTAATTCCATAAACACTCTTCGCTCATCAGTTCGTCAAGATTTACTGACGAGTTAACGAAGACCCTCATTTCTATTTCAAATACATTCTAGTGCACATCATATATAATACAAAATCTACTATTTAGCAGTGATTCTTCTTCAGATGAAGAAAATCTGCTACAAAGACAAATAAAGTTATAGAAAGAGACTAAGCTAAGACATTTGGCACACTATACCTACAAATTTGCGTATTAGAAATGATACGGTTTCAAAAGCTACGGGTGGTTAGAAAATAGACCTTTTGATGCAAATATTAAATTCAGGATGTCTGAAGAAAAATATAATTCCCTGGAAATAATTCTGAATAACGGCCTGGAGCAAAGTACTAGAGGAGGACAGTTAAACAAAGTATGGAGGTGTATCTTCATTGGCTAGGAACAGGCGTACAATAATATTATGCTGTCGGAGACATGCATGGTGTATCCGCTGCCACAGTGCATCGATGCATACATAAATTGGTAAAGGCTGTACTAAAACACATATATTAATATCACGTCAAATTTCCAGGGAACATGCATCTGGTTGCCCAGATTTTTTACCGCGTAGCAAATATGTCACAGGTAATTTCAATGGTTTATTTATTATTTGAAAGGTACATTTTTGAAATAATATTTTTTATGAATTTTATGATCTACTAAACTGTTATATTAGGTATATGGTGCAGTCGATGGAACATTGATAAAAATAGATTCTCCTAAAAAAAATGAAGGTGACTTTGTAGATAGACACGGGAATCATTCTATTAATTGTATGGCTGTATGTGTGCCTGCTATGCAGTTCTATGATATTGATGCACATTGGCCAGGATCCACTCATGATAGCCGCGTTCTCAGAAACTCTTAATTTATTTAATGACTTTGAGAGTGGAAGAATTCGTTTACCAGGAGGAATTCTTCTTAGAGATAGTGCATATCTTCTGTAAAGCTGGCTTATACCTCCTGTAATCAGACCAACCAGAACAGACGCTGAAAATATAGCGCAACAAAGATTTCTTAGAAGTCACAATTCTTGCAGCGAGAGTATTCAAATGCTACGTTGCGCTATGCAACTTCATTAGACTGGACGAAGAAGACATTGAAAGAGAACTATTTCTAGAAAAATGAAGAACCAGACGAAAACCTCCCTGCGCCCGATAATGATGTGTTTCAGAACGATGCAGCTGGAAGACAAATGGCTGAAAACAGATTTCAGGAAATTATACAACATTTTATGTATATAAATAACAAGTTTTAATTTATTGTCCTAATATAATACAATTTTGGTAGGGCTAAATAATGAACAGGGTCATGTTTTATATTTCGAGACCCTCTGTAGGGGCTTATTTCTTAAAATAGAAAAAAAAAAGAAAATTAATTAAATTAGAAAATGATATTTTTTTATCAATACTTATGGGAGATCATACATAAATTTAGTTTATCTACTTTTTAATTTAAGTTTCTATAAATTTTACCACCATCACTAGTACTAACATTTGAATGATTATCATCTTCGTCGGGAAAAGATATTTACTCAGGCACCTGTGACAAGCCGGAATATGTCATTAAATTAGGCGTTACAGCCGTAGAAGGCAACTGAAGCTGTCTTTCTAAAGAAAGGCATTCTGAGTTTTATATTTTTGTGCATTAACTAGATCTGCTGAAGCATTCAGATAATTGATCTGCGTGATTTTTTTTTTTGTTTATCTAGTACTCTCATTTCATCGTCAATTGACTTTGTTTTCTTTTCTAGAGGGGATTTATACCACCCTTCGTGTCTCTTTACATTATTACTCTTGCTATTTATCACCCTTTCTCCTTTTTCTGGTGTAGGTTTTGGTGGTTCTTCAGTCTTTCTTTCTTCCTTTATTGGTTCTGCTGCTGGATGAATTTGTAGTTACTACACTTTTACATGTATCTTCATCGGCATCTTCACTATCTGATGACACGCCTATCATGCTCACCACCCCCGGAGTATTTCTACCCAAAATATCCAACACTAAATTATCCAGTTCAGTCAAAATCACTTTTCCACTTCCGGTTTGCTGATTTTTATCAAGTTTTTTCTGAAAATAAAACGAATATTTTTGTCACAAAGAAATAAAAGATATTAAAGATAAATCATATAAATATATTAAAAGGTTCAGTGGCATGCATGCAATAGAAGCAAAAGCATTCCCTAATTTTTTGTTAATCGCTGCACAGTTTTTTACACACTTTTTTAAAAAAATAAAATGGCAACTCTTTATTATTAACCGACTTTATTTAGGAATAAAAATCACTTGCCTTGGCACGTCTTTTCCAATTTCCCCAAGTTGTATCTCTCAGCTTTTTTTTTGTACAACTTTCGGTTACCATCCCAATTGATTTGGCATATTTCAAAAGTTCTTCTCACGCTTGTTGTTTCTTTTCATTTGACACCTTATCGGAAAATGTCCCAGTGTCTCTTTATAATCGCGCAATTTGGGTAAAAATTAAATTTTTTTATCCATTTTGTGCGCAATACTCTAAATTTATGATGTACATTGTACTGAAGCTATAAAAAAAGTGTTTATACGCAGTCGCTTTGATCGTTAAAATTGTATGGTCAAACTACGTTTATCAATATAGCAAGGTCACGAAACTATCATGCAAGAATAAAGGGCCGCACGTTGATTATTAATAATGATACGTATACAGTCGACCAATTAAAAAAAATGGATACGGACCTAAATCTGTCTCCTGAAAATAGTCCTCTAAATAAAATTGCACGTAAGACAAGTAGCGCACCACAAACCCCAATTGTCCATCAAACATTTTTTGAAGATAGCTTGCACACATTCACGCTAGAAACACCGCAAATACCTACTACAGCTACCGAAATCATCAATACCGAGCCAAACGTTGAAGAAACAGAATCAAAACAAATAACTGAAATTGATTACTACAAGAAAGACATAGAAGAAAAAGTTAAAGAAGCAGCTATCGTAGAAATATCAGCAGCGGAGAAACAAGAAGATAGACCCCCCAAAAACAAGAAGGTAGAAGAACATAAGAAAAACTGCACTATACCTATACCAAGAACAAATTCAAGTAGTTCCCAAAGAACTACAAGGGCAACACACCAAAAAGAACTGAATAAATAAAACGAACTTGGAAGAAACAAAGCAGAGCACTGGTAAAATTTTCTCTAGCTTCCTCTTAACTTTTTAATGCTTAAAAATAGTGAGATCTAATCCACTAATATTTTTTTTGTTTTTAAATAGGTATTATAGTTCATTAATTTCTTTATTATTGTATTAAAAAAATTGTGTATTTAAAATTTTGATGAATTAGTATTATCTAATTTTATCCAGATTATATATTCGTATTGCTTATATCTTAGATTAGTTTTTCATTGTCATATTTTTTATAATAATTTAGTATAAACAATATATTATAAAATGGATCCCTATATTCGAGACTTTAACGTACAAAAAATATACAACTTTCAATTAAGTAGCTCTAGCGAGGTAAAACAGGTAATTGAAATAAATAAAAATAATCCAAATATAAAAATTATCCACAATAATATTCGAAGTATAGCAAAAAACCTAGATGAGTTTGAAATATTTTTAGAAGACCTAGACACATCTATTGATTGTATTGTATTTACAGAAACTAGAAGTATACCAAATGTTGAGATATATAATATTGAGGGTTATAAGACACTCCATAACAACGGCACTCGGAATCAAAATGATGGTGTATTGGTTTTCATAAAAACAGAACTATATCTAGATCATATAAATGTAAAGCTAGACGATTCCTTTGTATTACGTGTAAAATTAGAATATAACAAAAACATTGTCTATATAAACTCATTTTACAGATCCCCTTCAGATAGACATGTGGACATATTTTTAGAAGGTTTAAGAGATATATTAGAAAGTCACCATTAACAATTTGCCTACAGTATTTTTATTGGTGATATTAATATTAACTTATTAGCTAAAAATATAGAGAACACCCAAAATTATTTAACCCTACTTGCTGAATATGGTTTCCTATCGGCTATAAATACTGTTACCAGGCCAGATTCCGGATCTTGCGTAGACCACATTTTTATAGCATCAAATAAAAACAATTTCGATAATATAATATCATCAACTGTAGAAACATTCATTACAGACCACTTTGTAATATTATTACAAATTATGTTTAATAATTGCAATGTTAAACCTAATATTAATGAAGATAAAAATTACTACAAACAAATTAATAACAAAAAATTATTAGAACATATACAACATATAAATTGGTGTGAATTTATAAATATTGAAAATCTTGATTTGTCAGTTGAGAAACTTGTAGACTATATCCAAGATGCTATTAAAAAATCTGAAATTAAAATAAAAAAAAATGAACGAAAACGAAAGGCTTGGATAACTGGATCGTTGATTAAACTCATCAATAAAAAAAATGAAACTTATAAAAAATATAAAAATGATCCACAAAATGCAAGTTTATATAGTACAATAACTATAAAAAAAATGTAAATATCCAAATTAAAGAAGCAAAAATCAACTATTATAAAAATATGATTGAGAAAAAAAAGAATGATTCTACACAACTTTGGTCCGTAATAAATAAATTAACAAAAAATAAAGAAAAACATATTATAACCCGTATTAAATCTGAAAATGGAATTTTAATCACTAATCCAAATCGCATAGCAAATGAGTTTAATAACTTTTTTACAAATGTAGGGATACATTTAGCAAAAAACATTAAAAAATTATAAAGAAAAAAAAAAGTTTCTAGCAATTCAATATTTTTTGTTCCCACAACTATAACCGAGGTAAAACAAATAATAACAGGTTTAAAAAAGAAGAAAGCTCCAGGATCGGATAACATAACTGCAGAGACATTGCAACTCATTTCAGACTTTATACCTGCCCCACTTACAAATATAATCAACACAAGCCTCTCTACAGGCACCTTTCCTCAACTTTTTAAGCGGTCTCTAATTATTCCCATATATAAAAATGGCGAAAAAACAGAAATAACTAACTACAGACCGATAGCCCTGATTTCTTCAATAGGGAAAATTCTAGAAAAAGTGATAAAACATCGAATATGTGACTTCCTGGAAAAAAACAAATTGTTATCAAAAAGACAATATTGATTTAGGGAGGGAAGTTCAACGGAAGACGCAATAAGGCAACTAACTAATAAAATTTACTGTTCAATTGACAATAAAAAACCATCAATAGGAATCTTTTTAGACTTAGCTAAAGCTTTCGACACCGTCAATCATTGTCATTTATTAAATTCCCTTGAAGATATGGGTATAAGGGGTATAGCCAATAAATTAATGAAGTCTTACTTAGCGAACAGAAAACAGAAAACCAAAATACAAAATATTACCAGCATCGATCAAATAGTCTCATGTGGTATACCTCAGGGAACAGTATTAGGGCCTCTACTCTTTATAGTCTACCTGAAAAATCTCTTTTTAGTGGAAAGTAATGCAAATATTATTACCTTTGCAGACGATACAGTAATGCATTACGAAGCTACTGACTGGAATAACTTGAAAACATTGGTAGAGAAGGATTTCGCCAAAATAAAAACATGGTTTGACTACCGATTACTATCTATAAATTTTAAAAAAACAGTGTACCTACCTTTTTGCAGTCTAGCCTCTGGTCTTCCTCAATTTCAAAATATCGCTATCGAGAACGACACATATATACTACCTGAAAATAAAACTAAATATTTAGGGATAATAGTAGATAGCCACTTGCGCTGGGACAAACATACTCAATACTTACTAAACAAATTACGTAGTGTCTTATTTAAATTCATACAAATATCACCAATGCTAGAATTACCACAGAAGAGAATTTTGTATCATAGCCTTTTCGAATCTCATCTCAACTATGGAATAATTGGTTGGGGTGGAGTCACTAAAACGCACTTAAAGCCAATCGAGATCATTCAAAAAAGTTTTTTAAAAATAATGCTAAACAAAAATAGAAGATATCCTACTGAAAATGTGTATCAAGAAACCCAGATATTTGACTTACGACAGTTATTCTGTCAAGCAGCACTCACCCATGAATTTCAAAATTAAGATGATCTGCAAACACCGTTGCATCAATATGATACAAGAAATAGAGACAATTATTTGCTACCACGAACGAATAAATCAATTGGACAAATCGGTTTTTGGGACCAAAAATCTTTAATAACATTCCAACGGAGCTTCGAGAAATAAAAACAGTAAAAAAATTTAAAAGATGTGTAAAAGAATTTATAACAAGAACACCGCGAACTTTTTTCCGCAATATAATCGAATAAAAAAAATAGAAATTAAATAATTGGAAAGTATATTATAAACGTTAAAGAATCTGAATATTTTAAAAATGTTCTTTGTCTATGTAGAAGTTATGTTCGTTGTATTAGATACTTATGCCGAGGTATATTGGAAATAAATTTTACTTATTATCAAAGTGTAAAGATTGTACTTATATAACTTTTATTTATATTAATATTTTTGTATTTTAATTGCTTCATGTTTTTAAATTTTTACTATTGTATTGTTATAAGTTTTATTTATTTTTATTTTGTCGTATTTTTTGTTACACACAATATGTCATTGTACTTTGTACAGTGAGCAGATTCAGTGATACATTTCTTGTTTATTTACATTTTATTTCTATTAGATTTTATTTTATTGTATCTGAATGTATATATTGCTGGTAAATAAACAATATTATTATTATTATTATTATTATTATTATTATTATTATTATTATTATTATTATTATTATTATTATTATTATTATTATTATTATTATTATTATTATTATTAATCATATTTGGGGAATCTGCGGCCCGTTCAACGATATTTCAGAGAGAAATAGGCAAGGTTAATAAAGACAAAAAGCGACAAGGCGATATTTATTTTGAAACAAAAACGACATTTACTTTTCACTCCTTTACTCTTCACTCGTAGCTCATCAACTCTTTATTTTTATGAAACAGGCCCCTGGAGTCATTTAAAATTTCATGATCGCTCAAGCACAGGTTAGGTAAATTAGTTATTATTTTTTTATTTTCTCATTTTATCTATATTTTTTGCGGATCAACCCGCGATTGACTCCAGGCTGCAAAGGTTAGGCAATTTATTTTTTTTTAATAATAATAATAATTTTATGTTACTTTTTTGCTCCTATTTTGACTGATGCTATTTTAAAAAGTCTGTTTCGTTCGGGCGCTGTTTTGACTGACTCTTTTTTGATACGCACTATTTCGTTTAGCGCTATTTCGTAACAGAGCCGTATTTATTTATAATTTGTCTACATTATTCTATTATTTTTATTAGATCCTCTATTCTCTGAATTTATTGATTAGAGTTTCTCGAGAAACAATTCCAGGAATGCACAATTTGCATAGGTGTTCCTGGAAAAATATATTTAACTTCAGACGGAGATTATAAATAACATGAATTCTTCGAAATTTTAAGATTAATCTTATAGAGGATAGGGTGTCTTATCAGTGCTCTCTTTATCAATTGAAATAAAAATTTGTCACTTTTGGGGTAATATTTAAATAATAGAGTGAAATAATATACTGGGTGTTTTATAAAACTAAGTTTTAGATGTTTAAAGATTAACAAATTGGTTCCCTTTATAAAATCGCCTCTACCTAAAATTTAAATTTTGATCTTCTGTGATGTTTCAGTTAACCCTTATCTTTTCATTTACCAAATATTTTAACTTAACTGTCGATAACACTATTTTTTTTTTAAATATTCCGCTTGATAAAGAAACTACATGCAGTTGAACACCTAGGCGAGATATAGCTTTCTCACTTTGCAGAAAATACCCAGCTTAAATATACATAAGCTCCGACTCGCTCTCACTCACAGATCGATTTCACTCTCGACGGCATTTAAAATAAATTGTTAAATAAATGCAAGCGCTCACTCAAAAATACGCCATAAAAGTGTTACGCTGCTGACTATATAATAGTAAAACCTACTACATACATTTTATTTTAAACTAAGTATATTTTTAATAAATTTCTGGTTATGAAAACAAACAAGTTGTCACTCGCAGAAGTCTTTATGTATTCCTAGTACATTTCTTCACTCCCACTAAATAAAGTTTTATTTACTTGCGTTAATTTACTTAATAATGCTTAACAATTTTCTTTAGAAGATCAACCAGAGAGGCCTTTAAGCGCTGAAAATCTGCTACCAGAACCGAGCATAGCTTCTATGACAAGCAGTACAGCCGTCGGCAGACTCACTTCTGTTCTACATGGCAACAACGTTGTTCCAAGCAAGTGTCTCACAAGACAACAGACCTTCCCTCCACCTCAGCCATATATGAGAATGAGGTACATGTCTGCAACTGCAGAAATGAGCACCTGTCCGGAGACAGCTCATGAAGGTTAGTATAGTAATAATGTATATGATTCTATTTATCCCTTGAATTTAAATCCTCATTTGTATAATAATCCATCCGAATATTTATATTTAATGAACATTTTCTTTAGGAGACAGTCCATCAAACTCGTCTCACGGCTCGCGCGAAAACATATCACACTCGAATAATATTCCTCAATACATGATTCCTGCCATAGCAGTATTGAGTCCAAATAACAGTCGGCCGCCAGATCTTCTTCTACCAGAGTCAACGCTACCGGCTCCATCGGCGCAAAAATCATCCCACGGTAATAATAAAAGAGAAACGGAGGCTGTTGAGAAAGAGAAAACTTGCAAGATTGCGAAACTCTCCGAACCGGCCGGACAGCGATACGAAAAGGAAAATGTTGACCCCAGGAGATTAGCTGCAACGGTAAAAAATATTTATTGATTTTTATTTATCTCGTCATAATTTTTATTCTCTATCATTACACCATTGTATCACAGGAGCTACTGAACATTTTTATGGGAATTTATTTCCGCAGTGAGTTTGTAGTGATATTTCGATTAATTTAATGATTCTTTTCAACTCATTACTAAATCCTTCATTTCCACTCTCACAGTGGCAACCATTTTAATTTTCCAGTGTTGCAAATTTGTTACAAGGTCACATTATAAAGAAAATTAATGAAACAATATGGATTCTATTCGACGTCACTGAAGCATTCCCAGATGTGCAACTTTTTAATACATATGATATTGGTATAGTTTTCATGTTTATATGGATTATCAAGGTACACATTGAGATGAATTATACTCCTTTTGTAAAGGTTTAATCAATTAAAAATGACAATTAGCTTGACAAGATTAACTAACATTAATAACATAATGACAACTATAGAATAATCATAGAAATATTACCACATTCACGACTAAAATATTTCGGTGGTCGTTTCATTCTAGTGGGCCGAGGATCTTGTCGAGGATCTTGTCGAGGATCTTCACTATGACTCATCCTAGTAGGTCGGGATCTTCGTCAGGATTTATCCTAGTGGATCGGGAATCTTCATTAGGAGCATTCAATAACTGAGTTTTGGAGGGAGTTTCAGATTCTTGAAAATTTGGTGCCGCCTTAGCTTGAGAATCGCGTCTCCCGTTTAAAATATTCACGTCTTCATCAAGAGGTTGTAGATTTAACTCCGGATTCTCGTCGTTATTATTTGGAAGTTGTAGACTTGTTTCTTCAAAAGGTTGTGGAATTGACCCTGCGTTCTCATCATTATTGTTATGATTATTAGTAAGGTTTAAATCTCCCCTTGGTGCTAGATATCTTAATGAGACTATTGTTTCTCTTCCATCTGAATGTTTGATGGTAGCATATTCGAGATTGGCTTCAATAAGACATGCTTCCTCCGCCAGAGGTTTGTACTTATTCTTTCTATGGAACTTTTTCAAAAGTACTGGACCCGGTGATAAAAGCAATGATGGCAACGAAGTTTCATTAGTGGACTTTCTAGTATAAGCACACATTCTCTCATGTGGTGTACAATTTGTTGATGTACACAACAATGATCTAGTGGAGTGCAACGCATCTCCCAATACGACTTCCCATTGTGATGGCTGCAAACCTCGTGTTCTAAGAACTAGTGTGACTGATTTCCAGATTATATCGTTGTATCTTTCAACTAAGCCATTACCCCTCGGGTTATAAGGAGAAGATCGACTTGTCGCAATACCATGAGAATGTAAGTTTTTAATTCCTTAGACATAAATGCAGCCCCCTGATCTGAATGTAAGAAGGTAAGCCAAAAATTAAAAATAAATTTGAAAGATACTTAGACATTGTAGCAGAAGATGTATCTTGGCATGGATAAGCAAAAGGGAAACGAGAGTATTCATCTATGATAGTTAAAATATATTTATTTCGACTTGTTGGTAACGGTCCTTTAAAATCAAGATCGAGTCTCTCAAAAGGGGAAGTTGCCTTTATTAAAATACCTTCATCATATTTTACAAATTTTGGTTTTAATTCGGCACATATAGGATATGATAAGTCATTTTCCGAACGTCCTCAATTGAATAAGGTAGATTTCTAGAACGTACCCAATAAGTCATCCTTGTAACTCCTGGGTGACAGAGTGCTTGATGTAGTTCAAAAAGAGAAGTTTTGTTAATAGAGCATATTCTACTAAAGGCATCAGATACGGTATTTTCTACCCCCCTCCAGTAGATAATATCGAAACTAGCAAGCAAGTTCGAGTCTCCATCTGAGGATTTTCTCATTTTTAATTTTGCTGCTGTGTCTTTGATTGAACATAAAGGATATAGACTTTTGATCAATATATGATTCAAAGCTACCCGTATCTATTAAAGCATCTGCTTCGAAATCCTTTACTCTTATCTTAATAAGTGACTTTGATAAACACTTCGGAGCTGCAGCTAGTAGATTAGAATTACTATGAGTACAGGCAGTAGTAGGCTTGATGTTGAGTTTCTTGCCCTGACAAACTTTAGCGAAATGGCCGAACTTTTTTACATTCTTTGCATATAACATCCCTAGCAGGGCAATTTACACGAGGATGTCTCTTATTTCCACAAAACATTTTGCAAAGGAAAGGAATTGTATGACATGGCGATGGCCGGTTGGCTGTATCTTCTTGGGTAATATTTTTAGATTGAATTGCATTTCCAAAGTTTAATGGTTGAGTATAAGCTTCTGCGTGTATCTGAGCAGATTCTACAGAACGTGCTTGAGTCACTGCTGTCTCAAGGGTTAATGAAGCATTTTCAAGAAGGCGTTGACGAATTTGTTGGGAAATCAAACCACTTATGAAGGCATATCTAACATAATCGTTACGATTTTCGTCACATTTTACAGACTTAAAGTTACAATTGATCTATAGTTTCAGCTTCGCGCTGTTTTCGGGTTATTAGCTTGTGCCTAGCAAATATTTCATTATGGGTTTCACGTAAAGTTATCAAAAGTTCTATAACAGTCTTTTTTTTTCTTCTGTTAATGTGGGTATCTCTTTTAAGAAATTATCGAATGTCTTATGCCATTAAATCCATGCATCAGAGGCAGTGCTTGAATTCGGATCCACATCTAATTTATCAGGCTGGAAGAGTCGACCCAAGAATGACTTGTTTTCAAGAATGGTAGCTGATGTTTCATTCGTTGTTAAAGGCATTTTATTAATTGATTAAATTGAGACGAATTATACTCCTTTTGTAAAGGTTTAATCAATTAAAAATGACAATTAGCTTGACAAGATTAACTAACATTAATAACATAATGACAACTATAGAATAACCATAGAAATATTACCACACACATCTTTGAAGTAGTCTGGCAATGCTTCAGTCTCTATTTCATTTATTTTTGTATATTGTAAATTTAAATCACTAAAAAAACTTGTTCCTTTAATTAATTTAGTCTTGCATGGTTTAGTTCTTCTTTTCATGAAATTTCTCAATATGTTATTTTTAATTTATCTTAAATTTACTATTTCAGAGTTTGCCCAAACGAAGAGGTTCAGCACCAGTTTCGCTTCCATTATCAAAACCTGATGAAAAAATACCCCCTGCTGGCGGGGGGCTATTGATGTCTGATACACAATCCTTGAGAAGAGGATCAGTGCCAATTGAAATTGCTCATTATCGTAAGTAGCATTGAAGAAATTCTCGCACTGCCAGAACTATCCCGATTATAGCATTTTAAATCTTGTTTATTTTGTAGATTTCGTCGCTGACGACTCCCTCGATCAACCTTTAATAACCCCGGTGGAACAACCGAAGTCGTTCTTGCAGTACCCACGTAGGGGTTCGGCTCCGACCGATCTGCCCCCGATATTCGGGGGCGGTGGCGAACGTCGAGAACAGCTCACGAGACACACAAGTCTGAACGGGAAGGCGGGTCGAAGAAAAAAACAGCTGAGGAGGCGGAGTTCGGGCGGGCCCGAGACCGTACTTTTACCGGAATCGCATTCCGAGATCTTGTCTCGATTTTTGCTACAACGGAGACCTGAAAATCCCGAAGCGCTGCTGGTTCGGCGAAGAGGATCACTGCCTATTGAAGTCCTGACTGTTGGGCACTCTGGTAAGCTACTAAGTATTCTACAAAAAACACCAACCGTATTTATAAAATAGGAAAACATTCCTCAGGGCCACGTTCTGTTTACCGGGCCATTTCGCCCTCTTACACTGACAAGTGAACAATGTCGTCGTAGTTATTTTGTCGGATAAATTGGAACGGAATTTTAAGATTTTAGAACTTGTCATTTAACATGTTTGTTGTTTTTTGTAATAAGTTATATTATGTATACAGTGAGCACATAAAGTTAGGCACAAATTCATTAAAAGCTTGATATGGCTATTGGAGGAAAAAGCTCAGAAACGTCGATAACTGGAACAGTTCTGGTTATTCGATGCTAATTTAATTACATGGTACAGAATTATGAAGACTAGAGATAAGGAGGCGGATCGTCATATTCAAAATACATGGCAAATTTTTTTTTGAACTGAACCTATATATAGTTTTAAGCGGAAAATAAAACACAGTTAATAGATTTTTTATTGCTGTAATACAAGTATAAAGGGAGATTTGGTAATGTACATGGTATTACCTCATCCTTTAATTTCAGCCTTCCCCTTTTTATTTTGTTAACAGTACCATCAGTAAAAATAGTCTCATAATATTTGATATCTTCTAAAAAGTATAGAACAGCATCATCTCTAGAAAGTGCTTTATCGGCACTAGGAACGATATATATGCTGCCACTGTTCTAAGCTTTTAGTATTCTATAAAAAACATTCACAATGACACAATTGGGGTTCAACAAAAAATAACAGTAGCAACTCTTTATCTAACATTAAAACTCTATAAAAAATATTTTTTTTTTCTAGTAAGTTAAATTTAATGTATAATTATTGTTGTTTGCAAGTCAGGATCTATGACTGTAAAATTTTATATTATAGTAACTTGTAATAAAATAAACTACACTCCGTAAGATACATATTGTGACTAGTTTACAATAAATATTATATTTAGATATAAATACATTATTTTACTTACATTAGAATCTTTAAAAAGACATTGAATTGATTTCTCCTTGTGTTTCTTTAGTTTTACATTTGATTTGTATTGTTTTACAATCTGGAACGACGTAAATCTTGCTTTGATGTTTTTTTGTCACTCATGTTACTTGTACTCAGGTACTTTTTTTCACATTATTTTGATTCTTCACCAATTTTTTTTAAAAAATCACTTCATTTTACATTGACTTACATAGAAAATTGACTCCGCTGTCATTAGACATGCCAACTACAGTCAATTTCGCGAACTTTATAAAAGGAAGGACGAAAATTTAAAATATTACCATTAGGCATTCCAATGAACTGTCCAAATGGCTACCAGTGGGTAATGACAGTTTAGATATGGCAACCCTGTTGTTATGTTGTCATTAACAGGGTCAATGATACATATATATTGCCATATTGCCTGGCAAATATTTATTAATTTAAATCGGTTTAGCAAAAATGTGTTTTAAAACCAATTTTTAGCCTTTAGATATTTAAAAAAAAAATAATTGCTTACATTTTTACTTCAAGGCATAAGCTTATGTTTATTTTGAAAAATATGGATGATCAATCTATGTAACTATCTATTTTATTGACCTTGTCAAATCACCAGGCCTACAGGGTTGCCATAATTTTGCCATATCATAACCCGTCAGAACCCACTGGTAGCCATTCAGTTTGGAATGCCTAATTACCAGAGACAACTAATGAGACGGTCAACTCAATGCAATTTTGCTTTTCACCAAGAATTAACTGGGCGATTGAACTGGAAGATAAGGCCGATGGCGCTGGTATACCTTGTGTTTTAATAGTGGCCTTTTTCTTTATAAGCAACCGGTCAAATTATAATTTTTATTTTTAAAAAAAGAAGAAACGCGGGAAATTCAAATATGTAGATCCATTTTATCTATTATTTTTATGATTTTTTTCTGATTTGATGCACTGGAAATGTGAATAAATATGTAATTCACATTTACTAGCACATCAAATCAAAAAAAAAATCATTTTTTTTTTTAGGCACACAAAATAAAAAGCATTAAAAAGGAAAATAAAACGAAGTATAATTTCAATAATAAGATATATTCTGTATTAAACAATAATAAACATTCACACCACAAAGGTTCTACAATAAAATTGAAATACTTACTTTACACGGAAATTAAACAAAATCCCGGCGTGATCCGGGCATTGTTAGTTCCTTCGGGTTTGTAAACAAACTTAAAACTACCTAATATGAAAACACCACGATAAAAATGTCATTTACCGGAGAAAACACTAAACTAACAAATTTAAATACGTAACAAATAATAAATGAAAAACAACAAAAAAAATGAATTTACAAGTTAAATTGTAAAATATGTATAAGTAAAACGACACCAAAGTCACCAAACATAGAAACAAAAAATTGGACAAGGAGATAAAATGATAGGTTAGAAATACGTCAATCTGGCAGACGTCAAAGTGAAATGCTCGTGCTGTGATGCCAAACTTATTTTCTTCTAGTGCTATTGACTTTTTATTTTTGATCTTTGTACACAATCCTGCTATATATTTCTTAAAACACATCTTTTGTTATATATATATTATATACAAAGAAATTAAAAGTCCAATATAAGTATTACTTATGGATAAATAAGATCATTATTATTTAAATGTAAAAGAAACAAATTTGGAAAATGTTCATAACGGCAACATTGCTGGAACGTTACCAGCGACATCTGCCCTATCTTTTAGCTTATGAGAACAAGATAACGTTATAAGGAAATAATGTACATGACAAAGATAAAATACCAGCTGACCCTGATGACTACTATACCTAAATGTCAATCAATTTTTGCTATGAAGTTAACCGTCTCGTGTTGTCTCTGCCATTACCGATTCGTCTCCTCTCTAGTCTTCATAATACAGAATCAAAATCATGATGAAGAACAATAGGAAACAGAACACAGAACAACATCGTGTACGGAATTAAATTTTGATTACACATCATCATTAATGCGCATGACGGGCGATTTTTAACCTTCCAACTTAGATGGGTAAAAAGTTGTCATCCAGACATTGACGTTTTTAAAAACGGAACGACGTTTTAGTCCGTACGTCGGCTGGGCTTTAAAACGGAAGACACCCCAGTATTTCAGGCTCCAAGCAGCAGACTGACGTCATTTATCCTCTGAAAACTAACCTAATAGTAACGGTAAAATGACAAATTTGTCACAGCCCAAAATGACGTCAGATTTAGACGTCCTTATGACGTCTAAATACATTGAGGTAGAATTATATAGAGGCGCTATAAGTATTATTTCGCAAGGAGATAAAACGTCGCACTAGGCGTGGCTTACAGCCGTATGCATAGTCGATCGCCAGCGACTCGCCAGAGATTCATTTCGGCGTATCGCCAGCGATTCGCTGGCGAAAGCCCAAAAAGCTGGCGACTCGCCGGAGATTGTCACCGGAATGTCATTTCACGCAAGTTTTTATTTTCTTTTATAGGGATTATCACCGGTATCTCTCGCATTTTAATCATGATTCATTTCTTAAAACTCAAAAAATAATGAACGAATATCAAATTTTTCCCTATGAAAGAACATGAAAACTTGCGTGAAATGACATTCCGGTGACAATCTCCGGCGAGTCGCCAGCTTATTGAGCTTTCGCCGGCGGATCGCCAGCGAATCGCTGGCGAGTCGCTGGCGATCGACTATGCATACGGCTGTTAGAGTCGTAACAATATGGATGCCTTGTCAAGTCCTAACTTTTTGAAATTATAAGAATTATAATATATTTTAAATAATAGATATTTTTCTTTAACTAGTATCATAGGAATAGAGAATGCATTTTTTTTAAATTAAAACAAATTAAAATGGGAAGAAATAAACACGTTCTTAAAAAAGAAAAATGTATTGTCTTTAAACAAAACTATTTTATTACCGTTACTCTGATGCCTTATGTTCTCAGATTTATTTGATTTTCATATCAGTATTTGTTGACTCATATGCGTGGCCCACATCGTGAAACAACACCTCTTTAGTCCCTTGTTATATGAGCTACTATGGGCCCGTTCACTTTCATTTTTGAATGTGAATTAATTATATATTTATAAAGATATTAAACTCTTTTGTCTGGTGGTACTTTTCCCGTTAAGATATTTTTGCTAGAAGTAAGGGAATTCCCATAAAATTCTTTCAGTGACTCATTGCGTCAGAAAATCCCTAATTCCGTTCACGTCTCGTATCGGTTATGCTTAAAGACGGCGAGGTTGTCGGAAGTATCCCTAATATAGCATTCTGCATTTATATATGTAATTTAAATAGTAAAATTCCATTATTTTTCTAAAAATCATGAACTTATATTTTCAGATTTAAAGCTGGGAGCTTATTTTTTAGGGGTTTTTTAGGGGTTTTCTGACGCAATGAGTCACTGAAAGAATTTTATGGGAATTCCCTTACTTCTAGCAAAAATATCTTAACGGGAAAAGTACCACCGTACAAAAGAGTTTAATATCTTTATAAATATATAAATAATTCACATTCAAAAATGAAAGTGAACGGGCCCATTATTTACCTCATAAGGTTTAAGATTAGGAACAGTATTATCTCTTAAACGAACATAACATGTTGATGTTCGGTCGATGAAATGCTCAAAAAAATGCATTAAACGCAGAACACTGTATTTTGTAGGTTTCCAAGAGCCTCAATTTACAAACTGCAACGAGACAATTCGACGTGCAGAATCTTTAGGAAATCTAAAAGGAAACATTTTTGTTATTTGGGCTTTATTTGTTAGTTAAAATATACAACTGTTTCATATACCGTTTCCTGCCATTATTGTTATATGGGAAAATTAACTTCTTGCACAGCATAAAATGGAATTTCCAAACAGTAATAAAATAACAGGTTTATGAAACAAAATTACATTAAAATGTTTTAACCCAGAAACTATTTAAATAAGCAAAACATGCAAAGAATATTTTCAAATACTACCCTGTTTATTGTTATCATTTTGTATACTAACCTATAAAATGTTATTCCTGTCGATTTATTTTTTCAACTTTATTCCTGCTATTACAGTTACGAAGAGTACATGAAACCATTATTGTCTTGCACTATATGATTTAAATATTACACAAAAAGCAAATCCCATCAATGAAATCACAACAATGCGACAACTGTTTGATTCAAGTGTCGCATCAACACATACTTTGATTTTCTTTTACTATACGGAGAATGGTCGCACTGCGCAGCTTTTTGAGTGCCTTTTAAAAGGAGATAGAAAACTCCGCCATTTTGAACCCTTATTACGTGTTGCCTACATCTTGGCGCAATATTTTTAATAGGTGCGTTTTAATCATCTGCTTCGGAATTGTCGGTTTTCTTGTTTTAATCTGACAGGTTAAAACGACTAAACCGACAATTCCGGAAGCAGAAGCGGATGATTAAAACACACCTGATATTTTGCTTGCTGCTCTCAGTGAATATTATTTTTGAAGTCACAGTTTATTGCTAAAGAATCAGTTAGCTCACTCGGACCAGTTAAAAGTTCCAAAATAATATCCACTCCAGGGACACAAATTCAGGATACGCAGAAGACTGCTGTTTTATTATAGGCGGTTGTCATATATTGTATTATCTGAGTTGCACAGTGTATAAACTGAAACATTGACATCAAAAGTGCCGACGCAGAGTGAGCGATCTGATTCTTTAGCTGTAAACTGTGTCACAGGGTTCAAAATGGCTGCGCCCTATGTTGGGCGTGTCGGACCTCTCTCTTGCCTCGTATAGTAATCAAAGTATGTGCACATCAATGTGGCAAACTGATGCCGCATTTGACCACGTGATCGCGTTTCCCTATAATACTATCTCAATGTCTAAATATAACATCTATAACTTAGTAGTCTTTGACATTGTTTTAATATCATCTTAATCCATATTTAAACATCATCATTATGAGATTATATTTGACATTGTTACTCCTTTGTAACTTTTGTTTAGGAATTGTGGGTAACTTAGGGCGATTTGTGTTAACCGGTTTTAAACTAGGGTTCAAGGCTGAACTTCAGCCTTGCATTAAGTTTAAATCCAGTGTATACACAAGCCATTAATAAAACAAAATTGGAAAATGAAATAAGTGTAATTTAAAAATAAATATTTTACGAACATGAACGTTATTCTTTGCTTTGATACTATTTCTCATGAAATATATGTGAGTGTCGCCATTTTATATCCCTAATCTTTCACGAACCTGGGAACGCTTTAGGAAACAGCCCACATCCCATAAATGTAATAGACACCAAACCATTACAGAAAATGAAAAATATAGATAGGCCCATACCTTATGCTATGTACTAACCTATTTTTTAACGACAACGACAATAATTGAGACCGTCACAGTGCCAAGTCAACTCAACAGACTCAATCCACACATGCTCGCTCGAATACACACGAATCATACACCATTGATAGACACGCGGTCACGTATCACGTGTCACATGGGGTCATAAAATCCCTATGCATTTTACGCCCCACATTTAAAAGTTCTTATTTTTCTCTTACTGAAAATATATCATGTAAAATGATGATGACATCTTTATTAAAATAAGCTTAATTAAGGTTAAGTACTAATAAAATGTAAAGAAATCAGCCTTATTATAAACCTTAATTTAATGTAAAAAAAAATGAAATCACATTGACGTCGAGTTTGGAACGTTAAAAAAGAGACGTCATGTTAATGTAATTTTTTTTCAGTAACATGACGTCGATGACCAATTATTACCAAAAAATGTCGTCAGTCTCAGTCTGCAGCCTGGAGCTCAGGTTTAACCAATCTTGCAATGTTCAAAAATTACTTTTCATGACAATAATCATCACATTATGTCACCTCCGTTCCTTCCCACCTCCCTAATAAATTGTCTTAATTACAAATATTCCTGCTTCATATAAATTGGAAATTCCTAAATACGTTTCTGTTCTTCCATTGTAACTATAGTGATATTTCAAACGCAACCAGGCAACGATTTTATTATGTCAATATTTTCAAATTTAGGTTAACCGTGTTTGCCAAATATTCTCGTCTTGAAATGAAAGTTACATTTTGCACCGATTTAGACAAAAGTGTCGTCGTAGCAAATTGCGAAAAACGTGGCTGGATCCAAGTCAATCCGGAAGATGAATGGAACATCTATTGGGCGGGTACCCTTACCTGCAGGAGCCTCTTCAGCGTCGACAGTGGGTATAGGATGAACGACAATCAAATAATTAACCACTTTCCCAATCATTATGAAATATCCAGGAAAGATTTGTTGGTTAAAAACATCAAACGTTACAGAAGGGATCTGGAAAAGGAGGGTAACAGTTTAGCAGAAAGAGGCGACTCTAAGTACCTCCATTTGGATTTTATTCCAGTGACTTTTGTGCTTCCAGCTGATTATAACATGTTTGTAGAAGAATACAGGAAGGCGCCGCAAAGTACTTGGATTATGAAACCGTGTGGAAGATCGCAGGGTTCTGGAATATTCTTAATTAACAAACTGTCTAAGTTAAAGAGGTGGTCGAGGGAAGCGAAAACTCCTTTCCAACAACAATTAACCAAAGAAAGTTACGTGATTTCTAAATATATAGACAATCCTCTTCTAATTGGTGGAAAAAAATTCGACTTGAGGCTTTACGTATTGGTTACTTCATTTAGACCGTTGAAAGCTTATCAGTTTCGGTTGGGTTTTTGTAGATTTTGCACTGTAAAATACGATTCAAGTGTGGCTGAATTGGATAATATGTACGTACATCTAACTAACGTATCTGTACAGAAACACGGAGGTGAATATAATTCTCTACACGGCGGAAAACTAAGCGTACAAAATTTAAGACTACATTTAGAAAGCACCAGAGGAAAGCAAGTAACTGAAAAGTTGTTTGATCAAATAAGTTGGTTAATTATCCATTCTTTGAAAGCTATAGCTCCAGTTATCGCCACCGACAGACATTGTTTTGAATGCTACGGTTACGATATTATTATCGATAACAAACTCAAACCGTGGCTTATTGAGGTTAATGCTTCACCATCCTTGACGTCTACCACTGCCAACGATAGAATTTTAAAACACAAACTGCTGGACAACATTTTTAACATAGTAGTTCCTCCGTCTGGAATGCCTGATGTTAGATGGAATAAAATTCCCACTCCTAGGGCTCTAGGTGACTTTGAGCTGCTTGTTGATGAAGATCTTGTGAATATGAGTGAAAATGGTGATATCGCCAATAAAGGAAAATATAAATAAAGAAATTGTCGTTTTATTTATATTTATGCGTAAGACATCAATGAATTAGAAATGGTTTTAGAGTATGAACGAAATGAAAAAAATATATATAATTTTCATTTTTAAATGATTTGTTCCAACTTGATATCGTACTTCGGTCGTGCTTACATCGATTCTTGAAATCGGAAATTGTTGAAACGCTTTTAAAACTATCGTTGGAATGGTTAGATTAATGGTCCATAAAATAAAGACAGTAGGTAATAGATTTGAGTATAAAACAACTTATTCCGAACTATTTAGCCTAAAATGTATTTCGTATCTATCAAAAAGTTTTCAGTTTGTTGGTTAAGGTAGCAAAACTTTACATTAAGATCTTCGAGCATATATATTTTATAGAGTCCGCATTTAACAGCGTTTGTTTGGGTTGAGAGGGGAAATGTGTAGATACTATTACCAGTGTCGCATGATTTTTACGGGGTTTGCAATTAATATAAAACATACCTTTAAAATTCTTTAAATTATGCACATATTTTATAAACTTGCATTATTATTATTTGTGTTGGACACATCAGATTTTTTTAATTCAAACATCAGAAAGTGTGTAACGGAAAAATGAAGGTTAAAATAGTAGGCAAGAAAAAAGGTAAAAAGCGTATATTTAAAAAACAAAAATATAAATAAATAGTAGGTATATTATACAAATATTTATGATATCTCTTAACACACGTGTTCAAGAATTACAATACAAGAACTTTTTCCAATAATTTATTAAATATAAAAATATTGTTCGTAAACAATGTTCAATAGATTACTAAACGATATACTACAAATAGAAATCAAGCTAATTCTTAGGTACTTAGATACATTTGCACTGCTAGTCGTTAAAAAAAGTGAAGCTTAATTTTTATTGGAAAACTGTCTTAAGCTTCGATTATTTCTTAATGACTAGGAGTGCAAATAAAAGAATCTTAAAATGACTTTTTTATTGAAAAACTCACATTAGGCTTTGCTTACTAGCAGTCTAGCAGTCTACTAGCGACTAGCAGCCTACTTAATTAAAGAACATAGGTACATTTAATAAAAAAATAATTATTGTCAATGTTTGTGGTTTATACAAAATATAGGTAGTATTTGAAAATAAAATTTATGTTGTAGTAAAAAGTACATAGTTACTTACATGTTTCCTAATGTTGCATTTTCTTTTCCTGCAACAGAGGCTTCATGGTTCAGATCCTTACTGAAAAATTAAAAATTTTGCATGATTAACCCACAAAAAAAGTGCAGGGTTCTTTACCATTTAGATTCATTTTCTTCTGGGGCCTAAGTAAATCCTGATGGCAATGCACCTGAAATTAATTTAGTTCTTCCTCCGCATCCAGTCTATGACATAAACATATATCCAGAAAAATGATTGGAACATAAAACATCTCTATTTGAAATATTTTCTGGAATAAGTTTCAATATGTTTCATCAAATGCGATTTTCGGCAGGATTAGTTGGAAACCTACAAAAAACAAAAATTATTGATTAAACATCTTCAACATGATCATGATAACATGACTTAAAAACGAAAAGCTTGTTTATATTGAAAATTTATGATTAATTTTTTTTAACTTTTCAGTAGAGTCCAAAATCTAAAACAATATTTCTCATACATAATACAAGTTCTTTAAATTTAAATCATGTTTATCGGCCTTTTGCATAAAATGTAGGTACTTATGTTTCTTTTAAAAAAATGGTAGAGACGCTAATGGTTACTTACTTGTGAAATGACCTTTACGATGCCTTTTCATATTTCTATTTAAAACTTGCACAAACTCTAACCATTATTAAAATTTGTATCACTAAAGTAATAAAATACAAAAAATCACTTATAAACTACAAAAATAGTTATGAAAATCAAAAATCAAATGACAGTTCTGCCAATTTCGAAAGATTTGACATGCCAAGCAAAACGAAACAGATCAATGGGAATGCTGGACACTATTTTTCCTTTCTGTACCAAAACAAAGTCCATTTGGACGATGGCTCTAGTAATGTATGCTCGAAGATTAACATGCATGATTAACACTGATAGTTTCACAAAAATTCAAACCATTTCAAAAATTTTGAATTCTGAATTTTCTAGCCACAGTATCTATTTAATTTACTTTACAATATTTCATCACAATAGGCTTAGAAATAAAAATGTACAGCTGTCAAATAATAAATTGTACATTTTTTGTTCAAATTTACAAAGAGTACCACATAGGTTTGAAAAATTAGCAATGACAAGAATAAAAAACTAATAGTTTTCTTCATCCAGTAAAGTGTAAGGTAGCCTCCTCTTTCTTAAATATCAAAATTACTTGATTATGATTAAACATACCAAATTTCAAGTCAATACGTTAAATATTGTTATGCAGCACCCTGCAGTAGCCTGCGGCTATCATATGAAACGTACAGGTAGAAAAAGAAGTGGAATGTTACTCATCGCCCTACAGTGTGCTGCGGTCGTTATAAGTAAAAGTGCAAGTAAAAGAAGATAGAATATTCCAGTAATGTCTGGAAATGTCATTACCCGTCAAGAATATTCTAGCCGACAGTTCGCGAAGGTTCAAGCAAGCTATTTAAGGATGATCCTGACGTCAGTTTTCAGTTTTATGATAGACGTTACTTGTTAATGTTATCAGTTGTATAATTGCTATTAAAGTTGAGTTGAAATAAATTGTGATACCAAAAACCTGCGTAACAATATTAACGAAAATAATTCAAAAAATGAAAAATAAATTCTAACTGCAACACTGTATTTTGGAAATGGATAACATTTGACCCAGTGGTATTTAACAAAATATTAATATTTTGAGGTCCTGAAACTATGGTTAAAATATTTACTATTCCTTATGAAACATCCTGTTTACAGTCATAAATTTAACACACTACCATAGTTTTCCTTTAATAATGGGTCGTATGATTGAACGTTTACGTTATCCGTAACGTACATGCTAGGCCGAGTTTTAACAGTAACAAGGCAAGTTCGTACGATGGAAAACTTTTTCCAACACATTACTGTTATATCCCGCCTGTTATGTTCTAATTTAACAGGTTTCCATCATAGGAACTTGCCTCGTTACTTTTAAAATTCGGTCTAACGCATAGATAAATTAATATGTAAGATAAATCGTTTACATGCACGGCACTGGTAACACGTTTAGTTCCTCAGCATACTATTTGGAGCCACCATCGCACATTAGACAATTGGCTTGACAGTTAAAGGCAGCACAGAAGAAGAAAATAAAAAGAAGAGTGACTATTTTTCCCGCAGTTCATTCAAATGTACTTTATTATTTATTTAGATTTTTTTCGGAATTCATTACTCAAAAAAACTAATATTTAAATTAAAATATTGTATTTAACATAAATATTAGTTTTTTAAAGTAATAAAACTCCAAAAAATATAAATAAAGAAATATTTATACTAAAATACTTGAAACACAAACATTTAAACTAAATGTTGAGGCTTGTTATTGTTTACATTTTTGAGTTTGTAAACAAACAGCCCATAAAAAGGTATAGTTTAATCATTTAATACAAGTAAGGTGCATTTAAACTTTTATTACATACATAACATGTACTCGATATTACATAACAATAATTGTAAGTGAAATTAATAGTAGTCTCCTCTCATTCTTGGAAAATGGACCAATTTTCGATGCAGGTGTTTTCTCAGGGCGTTCTCTATAAAAACAAAAAAAAGTGTACATACCTTATTGAACAATTTTTCTTATCAAAATGTTGCCAATTCTTATAAGTACAAGTTAATTTTAATTAGTTTATAAACAAAAATTATTTCTCATCGTTCAATAGTTAATTTGAATTTTATTTTAACTTTAAAACAAATCTGTTCTAGTTGATATAACAAATTAAGAGTTTAAAAATTACTTTTCATTTTTGACAGACAACAAAAGGATATCCTTTAAATTCTGTAATAATCATTAAAGTTCGCAAGCCCTCTCACCAAGGCAAGGTTTTAATTTAAGAGGAGGAAAAAGTGAAACTTATTGACTATTAATTATATTGAAATTTATAAAAATACTAGTTAATTTAACAATCAAATTATTTAGTATATGTTTACTGCAATTTGGAAAAATGTAGCTTAATTGATTAATCTCTTTAACAAACAAAATTGTTATAAATAAAAAATTAAGAATTTGTTAGTACTTGCCAACTTTAGCCAGTAAATGAAGAGCAGCAACTCCGAGGTTTGAAAAAATCTTCTTTCGAGAATTTGCTATTTGTTTACGGTTGCCCGCATCCCACCACGAGGAGGTAAAGTAGTGGACTAACACACTGAGGATGCTTTTTTATTTTATTCTGAAAAAAATCACAACTAACAAACAGTACGATCTCTACATACATAAAAAAAATAAAATTGATTATAAATAAATAAATAAATTGGTGATCAAATGTATTTGTTATAAATAAAATTAAAATAAATAGAACACAAAAACTCATCAGGAACATTCTGAAACAGAAAAATAGATTAGATTTTTTTCTTTTTCATTTGTATTTTTCATTTTTTTTGTATTTTTGTAATTTTTCATTTTTTTTTGTTTTTTGTATTTTTCTGTTTTTTTTTGTATTTTTAGTTTTTCAATTTTTTTTTGCGATGCCTTTCCAAAACAAATAAAATAAAAATAAATTCTATAAAAAAATAAATAAAATCAGGTACATCACATTCTGAAAGAAAAGGCATCAATTTTTTATTTTTTGTTTTTCAGTTTTTTATTAATTTTGTAGTCGTTACTGAATTCATTGTAATATTTACGAATTATTAAAGGTATACATATATCCAACAAATCTGAGAGAATTTTGGACCGGTGAGTTTCACAAGAAAACCAATCAAAAGAGAGAATAGACATTAAATATGATTTAAGTTTTGCTTTAATACCACAAACATGTCCATATTCTTTCAGAGCTGTATAGATAATATAATACACATCAGTAAGAAATATTACAACATTTTCAGTAACATACGTTAA